GGGGACAGTGGCGTCTTGGCCCCAGCAGGCCTGGCGTTGGTGGGGAGCTGTGTATAGGACCGCCGGGACCCCTGTTAGGCCGTCTGTTCCTTGCTGCTCGGCTAGTCCTAGCCTAAGTGCTTGGGGGACCTTTGATTGGTTTTTGGTTTGTTCCTCAGTCGTCGTCCTGTGAGCTGGGGGCAGTGTTTGGGCAACACAGGTGTCTGATGCTGAGCTGGGCCGCCAGGTGGTGCTTGTTGGGGCGCAGGTTGGGAGCTGCAGTCCAGTCCTGCCCCCGGGCCCTCTCACCAGCTGCTGAAAGCAGATTGGTCTCATTTGACACAGACTTGCCTGACTTCAGCCGGGAGGTTCAGCTTTGGGGGTGCTCTCTGCTCCTAGGGATCGAGCACCTCTGAGGGACCTTTAGGCAGCTCACCTGGCTCCTTCTAGATGCCTGGGTTCCCCTGGGGTGGGCTTGGGGTGCAAATGCTCCCTATTGGGGAGGGCTCGGGTTCAAGGACTGACTGAGCCAGTTCTCTTCAAGTGGGGGGGGGCGCACCCCATGCCCTCTCCTCTTAGACTTGTCTCTCTAGACCCCTAGTCACACCTCTCCCCTGCTTAAGGGGTGAGGAGAGCCTGCGCCAGCTGAAAGGGAAGGGCCTGCATGTGTTGTCATGGGCAGTGCAGCCAAGGACAACCCTTCCTGTCTTTCCTGTCCTGGCCAACTCTCTGGGTTCTTTGGAAAACCAGCTGTCATCTTGTTTTTCTAAGTTTCAAATACATTTTTAAAAATAGTAAAATTCCCTAGTCACTTGTTACATGAAGATCCCATGCCATTGGCTGTTGTCGTGTGTGTGTGTGTGTGTGTGTGTGTGTGTGTGTGTGTGTGTGTTTGAGGGCCACACCCAGTGGCGCTCAGGGGTTACTTATGGCTCAGGGGACCATATGGGATTCCGGGAATTGAACCCATGCAGAACACATGCACAGCAAGTGCCGTGCCTGCTATATTATCTCTCTAGCCCATTTTTAAAACTTAGATAAATGTGTAGACCAGACATTCTGAGATAACTTTTTTTTTCTACCAACTTCACTTTATTTGTGGTGTAAAGGGGCAAAGAATATTTATTTTTTTGTTTTACATTTGACAAATACAATGTTTAAGCTTTTCCGATTATGCTAGTCCAGATAAATGGTCTATTTTGTTTACAAGAAACGGCGGCCTGGCCTGCGGGCTCTTTGTCTTCCTGGCACCAGTTCAGTCCCCAAAGCTTGCACCTATCCTGAGTGAATGAAGGTGACACACCCAGAGCAGCTGTCACGATCTCATTTTATAGTGACACCCCGAGACTTCCACACTCTCCCCCCAGTGCTCTCGAGACCGCTTTCCTTTCCTGTGGGACCAGAACAGCGTTGGGTGTTGCGCCCTGTGAACAAGCACATCTTGGGCGGGCCCCGGGGCTGGTTTTGTTCCCTTGGTAGGATCCTGGTCCCGGAGGTCCAGGCTCTCACGAGATCTCCTGCCCCTCTCCTGCCCCTCTTCGTGCGAGTCTCTCCCTGGCGTTTCCCTCACCCCACGTGGGGGAGGACGCCTCGTCTCCTAATCGTTGCAGAGCATTTTACTCATAACATGCTGGTTGTGTGTGTGGGATGTACCCAGACAGAGGACCTTCCGTTTCAGAGCCACGAGCTGGGTTTTGCATCTGGACCTTAAGCACTCGCCGTCACCACCTTGAGCATGTTACTTGCCCTTCAGTTTCTCATCTGAGAAAAGGAAACAAAAATATCCACCTCAGCGACTCTCATTAAAAATAAATGAGGTTTGAAAGATGGATAAAATTGTGGGTAGAGAGAAATTTAGAGCTTTAAGTGCACATATTGGAAAAGAAAAAAGGATGCAAATAAATGAGGCTTTCCGTTCCAGAAGTTAGAAACACTTGAAGCCAAGAGGAATTTCAAGGAGGAAATAACAAAGGGAAGAAAAAAGATTATTTTCTTTGTTGTTTTGCAGACCACACCTGGCTGTGCTCAGGGGCTTACTCCTCGTTCTTTGATCAAGAGACCATATGGAGCACCGGGATTGAGCTAGGGTTGGCTGCAGCCTTCCCTGCGGTACTATCTCTGTCCCCCAGAGTCTTCATTCTTTAAAATGATCATAAGAGATTTAAAAAAAAATTTTTTTTTATCACTTTAGGGAAAAAACGAACTAAATTCCTTAGAAAGCCGCAACTTGTGTGTTGACACAAATAGTACACAATGCTCTACCTGTGATTAAAACTGCTTGGAGAAAATTCTCCAGACCCAGAGAGTTTCACCATGAACACTGCCAAATATTTAAAGAAAAATAAGCCAGTACCACAAGCATCCATTTGGGATAAAAGCTCCTTGTAGAAAGAAGGAAAAACTTCCTTAATGTAAACAGTGATACTTCTCTAAAACCCTCCAGTAATACCATGCTTAATGGAGCAAAGTTGAAAGCCTTGTCTCTGAGATCAGAGAGGATCTCTGTGTTTCTTTGGAATCTCTCTCCAGCGGAGTAAAGCGAGAATAAGGAATGAGCCCTAAGTGTGGGGAGGAATAGAACCGTCTTTATGGGTTGAAGGCAGAGCATGGGATAGTCAAAACAAAGTCACAGGTGAATCGCTGTGAGAAGTAAAAGAATTAAGCTGGAGGTCCCGTATACGTGGTATGCAGTATGCAGAAGTCGATTGCACTGTGTACTCACAGATAAAGTGAAAGATGTAAACAGGAAGGGAAGCGACGCTTCAACAAGCTGTGTTTACCAGTTTCACGTGACACTTGCGGGTCCCGACATGTCTGGGTGTAAGAGGTAAAAAACTCAAGGAAATCAAGACGTGGCCAAAACAGCGAAGGGAAGGGGCTGTCTGTCAGCCCTCAGCACAAGAGGTACTTTTCAACGGGACTTGAAAACACTAGCGGGGCCAGACGCTGTCTGTCAATGAGACCGCATTAAAATGAAGACTCGGCCACAGGGCCGGACGGCTCGTACAGTGGGTGTCGGGAAAGCGGCGTCGTAACTCCGTGACCTGGGCCAGGAGAGCCGCTGTTGCTGCTTCCCGGCGTTCGCGGGGACCCTCCCCTCGGAGCCCCTCTGCAGCCTCACACCCCCCTTCATCTTTGTGCCTTGGCAGCGCCACCCCCGGCAGTGATTCTGCTTCTGGCCCCTGGGCTCTGCCTGGCATTTTCTACGTGCTGAGTCAATCTTGTGCGCAGCTGATCTGCCTTTAGTGGAGGAACGGAGTCTGGGCGCAGGCTGCCAGCCTCTCTCCTGTGCCTCGGAGATGGAGGGCCACCTCTCCGTCCAGACAGGCCCCCTTCTCAGCCCTCACCCCAAAGCTGCCAGCTCGGCCAGTGGCCTGGTTGGCCACGTGGAGTCACCCTGGGCCAAAGCCCAGCCGCTCCCTGAGGAGCCGGAGCACAGACTGGCTCTGGGAGACCTGCCTTCGTGGCACTACCATGACTGAGCATGTCGAGACCGTGGCCCGTGGCTTGGAGTGACTGGCTGGAGTGACACGCTGGCCCCGCGATGACCAGCGCACACACCCGGTGTGCTGATCTGTGCTGGGGTTTTCTCTTGGAGCACACGAGTGCACCCCACTCCGAAGTACCTCTCTGTCTGCTCTCTGCATGGAGTGGCCTCTGAGCTGTGTCCACCTCTGGGACCTGCTATGTCCCCTGAGGCCCTTCACATGTGTGTTGAGAACAGAGGTTGTGGGAGCGTCGGTCTCTGATGAAAGGAGCAGCCGTGGTAGCTGCTGTAGACGGTGCCTGTCACTCCCGGGCTCAGCGGGCTGAGCAGTGCCCTAAGCCCTCGCTGCATCCTCCCCTTGGCCTCCCCAGCAGTTCCCAGGTGGACTCCCCATTCTCGGAGTTCACGCCAGTGGAGCACAGAGATGTTAGGTAATTTGTCCGCCATTGCCCAGCAGTGAGAAATGGGGCTTCCTGACTCTAGGGCCTAGGATTCTGCTGCCTCGGGGAGCCGGTGAGGGCTGAATGTGACGTCGAAGGAAAAGCGCTAGGAGCAAGGGCCTGGGGGCTCTCTGCCTACCCCCCACACCCTCCCGCCCTGCAGCTGGCCCCTGGGCCCTATGGGGGCTGGGAAGGTCCAGATGCGGCCTGAACATGGGAAAGGTGGCGTCAGCTTTACACCCAGAGGTCAGGGACATTCATCCAGTTGCGGGCGCATCCTTCCGTCCGTGTGGCTTGTGCTTTGGAATAGTGGCTCCATCCGCACCTTCCCTCTGATGGGGAAGTAGTCACCCCCCTGTCCTTGCCCAAGTTTGGGATTCGGAATCTGTCACTTAGGTATGACCCGTGTGGCTTGTTGGCTTTTCTCTTCCAGCTGGGCTTCACACGGCCACTTCAGAGTAAACTGCTCTGAACTCAGGACTTCTGTGGCGGAGAGAAACCCTTCTCGTTGGGAAGCAGAGGGGAGACAGTGCCCAGCACGAGTGAAACATGCAGAGACGGGGGAGTGGAGTTGGGCGGGAGAGACCTGCCTTCACCCACATTTTACCCAGCTAGATGGGCCCAGTCTCCAGGGGCAGGTGGGGAACCCAGAGGGGCGGAGACTCCATCCACCTTTGCAGACCCCGCTCCCATACTCTCTCCCTCTCTCCAGGAGACAGGGATGGTTGCTGAGTCGTGAGGTTCTCAGTCTGTGGGTCCAGAACGCGGTGGTTGGTTCTTTAGAAAGTTCTTGGGTACGCAGCAGTAGAGCTCATGCTTCAACAGATGACAAGACCCCGGCCTTCATCCCCAGCCCCAACCATCACAGGAAGAAGGGAGGCACCTGTGAATGGAATCCAGCCTGCTTGCGTGTGTATGTGTGTGTGTGCGCGCGCGCGCGCGTGCACGTGCCATACACACATGTCAGCACCCGAGGGAGTGGTGTTCCCACCTACGGGGAGGCCGTCGGCCGTGAGCGGGCCAGGCTGCTGACAGTGAGAGGGCGTGCTCTTGCCCTGGCCAGTTAAAACTCACAGCCCTGTGTTTCTTCTTAGATTTTCCTTCGGATCCCGAGCGGCTGAAGCTGACCTCTGACTTGAAGCCTTCTCTCTGCTTCCTGGTCCTCGGGAGAAATGTCCAGCACGTACGATGATTCCGTTGGAGTGGAGGTGTCCAGTGACAGCTTCTGGGAGGTGAGGCCCCTCTGCTTCCCAGGGAGTACCCCAGGCCCAGGGGGCCCGGAGCACTTTCCTGCCTCGCCGTCTCCTTCCTTTTCCTATTTCTTTGGGGTTTATGGGGGGAGGAGATGAACACACCCCATCCAGCCCTTCTTGGTCAGCTCCAGAGGGCGGCAGGCCCCCAGAGAGGGGTCAGTGGGCCTTGCCTGGGCGGTTGATCGCTGAAGAGGTCAGGGGTATGTGGTGTGTCTTGTCACCATGTCCCTTCTCAGACTGTCATTGTTCTGCTCAGCCGTGATGTCACTTGGCACTGTCCACTTTAATTCCCTAGCCAGCCCGAGAGACCGTGTTATTTTGGGGTTTTATGCAGAGGATGACTAGTGATGACGTGGCTGGCCTGGAGCTGGACAACACAGGCCAGTGCCCGGGCCACGCCGGGAGTCGCTTGCTGCTGGAGCATCTTCCTGTTCGTCTCGGCCAGCGAGGAACTCCCTTCCTGATGAGATGATTTCATGCTTGTTTTCTCTTTTGTTCTGAGTCACCCTTCCTGAACCCCACTTGCTTTTCCTGCCTGCTGGTTAAATGACCTTTTAAGTTCAATCTTGGCCCTCGTGGCTGGGGGTTTAATGGAAACACAACCTGGGTTCTGACCCCTGCCATGCCAGTGGCAGCGTTGTGATGTCGGGCTAGTGCCCTGACTGATTTGAGTCTTTGCCAAAGGGAAGATTGGCCTTTTGAGGAGCCGCCAGGTTGAAGGGAGACATTGGCATGTACCTGGGGGGCTTTCTGGAGACAGGCAGTTTGAGTGGTGAGATAAATGTGGTCAGTAGCTGGAAATAGTTTCATACACTTGGATGAATTAGGCATGTCATTTTGTCCGATCTCACATGCCATCGGATGGTTGAGGCTGTTGAAGACAGATGATCGCAGGGACCCTGGCCTTAGATGTGCAAGAGCTCAGCTTTCTCTTGTGGGAAAGGTCACTGTTGACTTTTAGCTGGAGAGTTCCTTTCATTAAAGAGATGTGTTTACTGAGCACCTACTGTCTCCTGACCCTGTGAAGCACCCCTGGGGCTGTAGGGGGCCCCAAAACCTGAGGAGCTGGCTGCTTCGCAAGCAGGAGAAGAGCCCGGATTGCAGACCACCCACACTGACCAGCCTTTCTGGTGGGCATCGCATGACCGCCTGGGAGCATTTCGCAGAAGGCAGGGGGCCAGTTGGCAGCGACAGGGCTTGGCATTGGTGGGCACCTTCTCGGTGGGGAGGGGAGGCTACTGGTGAGGCTCAGGAAGCTGCCTTTCAGAGCCCGCGGCGACAGGTGCGTGGGAGACGACTGGGCCACGACTGGGACTCAGAGCTGCCCCTCAGGTTCCGGGGAACTGCTCTGGTTCCGGGGACATCTGGCCTTGCCAGGTGGCAGCAGTCCCCTGTGCCAGCCCTTCGTGTGCTCCTGGAGGCCGGATTTGGAATGGCGGGCCTGGGGCCTGCAGCCGCGGTGCTTTCGAGTGCCCTGGAGTTGTGCAGACGCGTCTCCTGCTGTCAGTCAGGTCGTGCTTGAGTGAGGCAGTCACAGAAGACATGCATGCACACAAGCATGCACGCACACTGACACTCGTTTGTTAGCACACGAAGGGCAGGAGGGGCCCCGGGGCAGCGCCAGACATGTGCTCTGGAGCCGGCTGGCCCGGCTTTGACTCCGGCCTCCTCCTCTACGCAAAGTGTGGCTGGAGCAAGTCACTAATTTGTCTTGGCCTCAGTTTCCCTATCTGTAAGCTGGGATGTAATGACGGTCTCCTTGTGCCGTCCTGTTGGGAGGATCGGGAATGAGTGGGTGCCGCGGTGTGGGCGGGCAGCGTCGGCCACACGTGGGCCACCTGCTCCCGAGGGCCGGGCTGCAGCGTGGCCCTAATTGCGGGGCTGTGGCTGAAAGTGCTCTGGGAAAGCAGTAGCTAAACACAGCGCAATTACAGAGGGCTGCCGCGCATTACAGCAGATGGCGGCGAAAGTGGCGGCTCACACACGCGCTGGATGCATCCGGGAGCCCTCGGCAGGGCTCTGGCCCACAGGCCGCCTGCGAACTGTCCGGCCAATGTCTCCCAGTGTGAGCAGGGCGGGGCCGGTGGGCTGTGTTTCTGGCCAGGGGCTGTAAGGCTTCCACGCACAGCGTGGGGATCTCCCCCCCTGCCAGCTGCTGACGAGCCCTCTTACCCCGAGGGGTCTGAGACCAGCTAGATCCCCTCTCCCAGGGGAGACTCGGGCCGGCGTGGCCACGGGAAGCCCAATCGTGAAGCATGCCTGGAGTCTCCGGGGAAAGCCTTCGGGGCTTAGTTTACTCCTTCCCAGCAAGAGATACAGCTGGAGTGGGTTGTTCCAGAACCATCTTGTGAGAGCTGGCTGTGGCCCTGTCCTCCGGGAGCCACTGGCTGGGACGTTGGAGGTGAGCTGTCTGCTCTCCAGGGGCGCTGCACTGGTGGAGCATGCGTGTTCGTGGGGTTTACGAGGAGTGTGGGAGAAGATCAGGGCGGCGCGTACTAAACGCTCAGGTGTTAGCTGGGTGAAGGAGTCGTGTCCTGGTGGAAGGAGAGGCCAACGCGGGGACCCAGTGAGTCAGACCAGGATTGATCCACACGGGACACTTGCTGTGTTACCCAGCACTGTCATAAGAGACTTTGAAAAAGGGAGTTGGGGCCGGAGCGATAGTCCAGTGGGGAAGGCATTTGCCTTGCATGCGGCCGACCTGGGTTCTATCCCCGTATCCCATATGGTCGCCCATGTACCACCAGGAGTAATTCCTGAGTGCAGAGCCAGGGGGAACCCCTTTGCATCTCCGGGTGTGACCCCAAAAGACTAAATAAATAAATAATATTGGAAAGATGGGGCATTAGGAAGATGTCCCTAACCCCGCTCTGAGCCGCTGAGGACCCTGGAGCTTGCTACGTGGCACCTGCCGGCGGAGTGCTGGTCAACCCGCCTGGGCAGCCAGGCAACCCCTGAGCATCACCGGGTGTGACCCAAAAAAGCAAAAAAAAAAGGGGGGGCGGAGGAGTTGCTTTTAGTAGAGCTGGAGAGAAGGGACCGTGTCCTTGGTCTATGTGGGCGGAGGGGAGGCGCAGCTCTGCCTTTGTGGGGCTGGCGTTCAGAGATGGGCTGCTGGCTGGGCTGGGCAGAGGCAACGGCTGGTGTTCAGAGACAGGCCTTTGGGGTGGGAACTGTGCCAGAACTCACCTGGAGGCTGGCACCAGAGACCTCTCTGGGGGGAGGTCACACCAGACTGGGTCGCTGGGTGTAGGTCTCCCAGTGGGGTGGAGGGTGGTCCTCATTGCTTCTCGCAAATCTCCTGACTCCTTTCTGCAGCCCGCGGTGCTGCTGCATCCTGAGGCCAGGCCTAGCTCTGGGATGGTGGACAGAGGCCGAGGCGTGGGCTGAGGAACCTGTGAGTGTCGGCGCACTTCTTAGGAACGCCGGGTCCCTCTGCCCTCAGTGGGCTCTGGGCACAAGTGCAGTGTGACCCCGGCAGGCCTTAGGGCTGCTGCTGCTGCATCTTCAAGGGCACCTCGGGGGCCCACAGGGTGGGCAGAGGGCTCATTCCAAAGATGGGGCCAGCAACTGTCCCAGGAGGTCGCTGCAGTATCCACAGCTGGTGCTCCAATGCTCTAGCCAAGGCTGGCCAGAGCCGCCCTGGACTGTGCTCGCAGGGACACAAAGCCAGAGGAGAGGATCTGGAGGTGATGAGGACCCAAGTATCTTGCCGTGGAATGTTCTAGTAATTGTTAGCCCTGAGGAGAGGCCCCTGGCTCTCAGTGCTTGCATCACCAGCAAGAAGACATTTGCTGCTGGCTCCTCTCAGGCTCCCGCTCAGGGGCGGGACACGAGGTGAGCACCTTGCTCTGCTGGGACGCCATCCTGTGGGACTGGGGTGGCTCCCGCCCCCGGGCTGTTTTGTCCTGCTCGCTGCCTCCAGAAATCCTGCCTTTGCGCCTGCCACAGAAGTCCCCCCCGCAACAGTGCACAGTCCTGGGCCCCCAGGCCAGCGAGAGCCTCGGTGGGTGGCATTCAGGGGGCAGCCACCGTGCACAGAGAGCACGTCTCCCCTCCCCATTGGCACTGGCACCCATCCACTTGCATTCCGACCACCCTGTGCAGCCGCTGGCCTGGTGAGTGCCGGCCTGTCTGTGGTTTCCGCCCTTGGCTCCTTGGGGCCAAGTCAGGTAATCCCAGTGCCCCGGACGCGGCTCCCGGCATCCTGGCAAAGCCTTTGCTTACTCAGGTTTCTAAATAAGTCATCAGCCGCGGCTCAGCCCAGCCAGCGTTGACAGCCGCGGCCCAGGGCTCTCCCTGGCAGAGTGCGTTCGGCTCCACCTGCCCAGGAAAGCCGGCCCCGGGCAGGAGCGGTGGCTTCTCCAGCGAACCGGGCGCCTCAGCTGGACTCCGGGGTCTCTCCTGGGCTCCAGCAGGCTGACTCGCCACAGGCTCCATCCAGAGCTGTCCCTGCCTGGAGGAATGGGGCCTGGTGGTGTTCTTTCCACCACTCCCAACTCCTTCTCTTTCCCCGGAATGCCTCCTCCAGGAAGCCCTCCCTGGGCCCTCCCAGTGGGTTTCCTGTACGCCCAGCTGTCATGCTGTGCCTCCAGTTTAGCTCTGGGTGTCAAGGACACTGTTGTCATCTGGCCTTCTGGGCTGCAACTCCGTTCCTGCTGCCTGAGTCACTCAGAGAAAGGATGTGCTTTAGTACCCTCCTTGAAAGAACCGTACAGGTGGGCATTCGTCTCCACAGCCAGTGTGAGGGGCAGGAACCCTCCTGTTAGTAGGCCCGAGCCCTCCTGGGCCCCAGCCCCGTTCTGGCCCCTGGGGAGCAGCAGGGGTGGAGCGGGCAGAGAGACCTTCGGGGCCTCGGAGCAGCCCTGAGTGCAGGAGAGGGGGCCCTCCTGGGCAGCCGTACAGGCCCTCGGGTGCCCCCGCCCTCGAAAGCCTTGTGGAGAGGGGGTGGCGGGGCCAGGTTGCCCCTGTGCTTGGCCTCCTCCTGGGTCCCCTTGGGGGAGCTTCCTTCGCACTCACCACTGCACGCTTGCGTGGCCCGGCTGAAGGTCAGAAGCTGTCCCAGACCAGACTTTGTGCCATTTTCTAGTGGTGACCCTGAGGGATGGGAGGTCTTGTGGGGCCCAGAATAGAGAGAGAGAGAGAGAGAGAGAGAGAGAGACACAGACACAGACACAGACACAGAGACACACACACAGACACACGCCCCCAGCGGATGTTGCTGTAGTGTATTTCCCAGGGTGCCACACTCAGGACAGGGAGGAATCGCATCATGCCTGGGCCCCCAAGTCCCCAAATAAACGCAGACGTTCTCCTTTCCTGCTCAGTTCCCAGTGGGATCTCCCAGCTTTAAGGCTGGCGCGTCTTGAGTGCCGAGGCAGACGAGGTGGCTCAGGGCCGTGCAGGGATGTGGATGTGACTATTTGGGGTGCGGCTAAGGTACCCCCGTGTGAAGGTGGGCCCAGGAGCGCAAGGGTGGGTTCTGTGGGGTGGAAGGAGTGGGGGACCTGAGGAAATGGTCAAGGCAGTGACCCGGGGGTCCTGATGCTGCAGCCACTGGCGTTTACTGGAGCAGCTAGTTGGGGAGAGGGCAGGTGAGGAAGGAGGGGAGGTGCTCCCGGAGGAAGTGCTCTTCTGCCTTTCCAAGGCCCTGGCAAGTCCCCACTGGGTACTTCGTACCTCGGAGGCCCGCCCCACTTGGGACCTCCGACCACTTCTCTCCACCACGGTTTCTGCCTGCAGCAGCCCCTCTGTGGAGGCTGGGGACGGGGGCAGCTCTGAGGTGCCGCCTCCAGCACTGAATGAGACTTGGGAGGACCGAGCCTGCAGTGGGGGCCGCCGGGTCGTCCTGGGGCCTCGGCACACAGCATGCCCGCAGGGCAGCCTGGCTGCTGGCCCAGGGCGGGGCTGAGCTTGAAAATAACTTTGTCTAAACACATCCTTCCTCTCCAGTTTATTTATTGGATCTGTTTTGCCTCGGCAGTCCATCTGAGAACGGGGCCTAGTGGGTTCCCGTGTGTTTGTCGTTTTGAATAATTGAACATCGTGCTCTGAAGAGTGACCTGTAAAGTTGTTGGAATTGGGGATCCAGTTTTTATGACCTGCAGACTGCCGGGGGCCTCGGCAGCCGCTCCCCCCCCTCCTGCTTGGTGGGCGTCAGACCCCGGAGCAGGGCGGCTGGTCTTGCCCCGTGTCTGCCGGGTGGTGCGGCGCATGCGCCTGACGGGGCCCTCGCGAGGCTCTGGGCTGTCCTCCAGCTGAAGGAGGGGGGCCTGGGCAAGGGCAGTGAGAAGAGGCTCCTCGGAGGGGGCTGGGAGGAGGCCAGATGGCCACAGCTCAGCTGGCGGCTCCGTGCCTGTGCCCTGCAGGGCTTGTTCGCGGCCTCGTCTTTCAGAGCCTCGAGCTCTCCCCGTATAGTCACTGTGTGGTCAGCAGCAGCGGTGAGACCCTGGGCCGACCCCTTCAGCTGCAGGGGGCAGGGGGCACATTTTCCTTCTCTCTGCTCAGCGGGGCGCCCCGGCTCCTCTGAGCCATTTCTGTGGGCACAGAGAGGAAGTAGGTGTGGACCCAGGGCCTTTGGGCCGCAGGTTAAAGGTTAAAGGGCAGAGGCGGCAGGTTGTTTGGGCAGCAGTCACAGTAGTTTGCAGGTTGGGGCTTCTGCCAAGTTGCCTCGCGGCGCTGGGCCAGGGTCTGCCCATGACTTTGCAGGTCTGATCAGGGGCTACACCGTCCTCGCTTCCCTGGAGGGTGGGCACCACCGCCTCTGGCCACGAGGCCTCTCGGAGCCTCGATTGCTTTAGGAGCACAGATTGCCCTCCGGCCCTGGATTGTCCCCATCTTGAGTGCGATGGGAGGTGTCAGCGCCCTGCCTGGCAGCAGGGACATGGCCCATTATGATGCTGCGGTTGCTGTGGGGGACCCTCAGAGCCACGCCTTTGCCCCGGGGGAGGGAGATACCATGCCGGGGCCCAGCGGGAGCCCAGCAGGACAGGCCGTCACAGCCGGGCATGGGGGCTGTGTGTGGAAGGACCATCGTGGTCCCCATGTGGGTCAGCCAGCCTGGACCTATTGTGATGCGTCCGCGCCAGCTCTCCAACAGGGCAAGCGATGGCCGAACAGGCGGTGCCAGGGCGGGTGACGCCAGGGCAGGCGATGCCAGTGCAGGTGATGCCAGGGCAGGCAGTGCTAATGCAGGTGGCGCCAGGGCCAGCGGTGCCAGGGCCAGCGACGCCAGTGCAGGTGATGCCAGGGCAGGTGACACCAAGGCCAGCGATGCCAGAACCTGCTCTTGGCCCTGCAGCCTCTGCAGGCTTCGGGGGAGTGGCCTGGAGGAAGACTGGCTCAGGGTCCCTGGGAAGCTGAAGGTAGGACGCTGCCGGCCCGCAGCACCGCTCGGCGCCCGCGGTCTGCGCCGACTCTCGCTGTCTTTGATCAAGCCCCGGGTCTCGGCCCCTGTCTGATGAGTGCACTTCTCAGTCCTGCGCCTGCTCCCCGCTCTCCTCAGCCGGCTTCTCCCCTTCACCCTGCACTGCTGCGCCCCCAGGACACCCTGCTTTCACCCATGCACAGCCAGGTCCCCGGCCGGGGTGAAGGTTTCCGTGGGGTGCCGTGGCGGTGAGGTTGAGGGTTGCCGGGGTGTGCACGTTCTGACCCGATCACTGTCCCGGGTGTGCCCTCTGCTCCGCCCTCGCGCATCCAGTCCCAGGGGTGACGGGCTCCCCTTGCTGTCCTCAGGGTCCCCAGCTCTCCCACCTGATACTGCGGACGGGGATCTGACTAACTTTAGGCTTCCGGTGGGTGAGGAAGTTGAGCACAGCAACCCCGCAGATGTCTTTGTTCCAGCTCGTTATTTCACTGCTCCTGTAGGTCCTTCTCTGCTGATTCTGCTGGCCTCCTCGTCTGAAAACCCAGCTGTTGGCCTTCTCTTTGCCGCCTCCTTTTCCTCTCCCCTCCTCCACACCTTCCCCTCTCCCTCCTCCTTTCTTACCCCTTCTCTCTCTTCCTTCCCTCTGCAAGTACCTGTGCTTATAGGTATTCTGTATCCCTGCCCCTTAGTGGTCCTGAAGATTGGTTCCACGCTGTCCGACCGGAAAGGCCAGTCCAAGTGTCTATAACCTTGGAGGGTTTGAAAGAGGGTCTTATGACCTGAGGCTAAATGAGGGTCTGTAGGAAGACCAGCGGGGGAATGCGTGTACCCCCGTGAGAGTAAGACGCGACCCCTCAGATCACGTTTGTGAGACCGGACGGAGGTCTTGGTGACCTGCCCCTTCCTCCTCCGTTGCTGGCCTTGGGAGCGTCTCCTGCGTCTCTGCATCCTCCAGCTTCCACTCTGAGGGTGCTTGCCCCGTGCGGGACTCCGGCATCCAGGTTTGTCCCCAGTTTCACTCCTCGAAGGCTGAGGAAGAGCCTGTGTACTATGTCCACGGTGTTTTTCCACGCACGCAGTCTTAGATTTTGGTAGGATTGATCTCCGCGTTACGTGCATATGTACCCGTGTGTGTGAGACACAAGCTTACCTGTGTCTGTGAACCCTCACAGCTCTATATTTTGAAATTCCGTGTAAGAAGTCCCGTCTTTCCCAGCAGCGCCTCCGTTTTCCCTGGCACCTTTTTAGCTTTCTTGTTTGCGTTGAGGTCCTGGCCTGTGGCAGGCTCCGGGAAGGCAGTGGGGAGAGAGTGGAGGGAAAAAGACAGGCCCGCCCCCTCTTAGGGTGCAGAGTCGGGGTGCTGGGGTTGGTGGGGGTCCGACTGCTTGAGCTCCGGTTGGGCTGGAGGTGCCCTCAAGTGGTCCCCCTGTCTCGGGCCTGGTTTCACCCTGGCGCTTTGGTTCTCATGGGGAGCTGGTCCGTGTTGGGAAGATGGTGATCACTGGGAGGAGAGTGCTCCGGTATGGTCACCGCTGGCCCAGCCTTGACCCTGGCTGTCCACGTTCAAGATGCTGGGACTACACGCAGTTAGTCTCTGCCCCCAACACTACGCCAAGTCCCGGGGACCTCCCAGGCCGCTGCCTGGCATGGTCACAGCCGCTGCTCCATCCTCGGCCTCCGCCCTGTTTACCCTGTGCCACATGGAACCGGTGTGACCTGTTGGCACAGTCTCTCCCGGCACCTGTAATCATAAACCCCGGCTCAGCTCTGATTCCAGTTACCCGGGTGCTGCTTAACGGGCTCGGCTGACTGTGACCCCCAAGCTTGTCCGCTGGTGGCTTCACAGGCCTGTGCTGTGGTTAGCACGAGATTCAGGCGGGAGAGTGGGAGTGGGGGGTTCAGAGGGCCGTGGGGAGAGTGGGCTGTGGAGGATCCCTCAAGGGGGGCTCTTCCCCAGCTCCCACTAACCCTCTGTCCCTGGAGATCCACCCGCTGACCCTCTGGCTCCCAGCAGGGCACCTTCAGGTTGCAGCCAGATCTTAGAGTTGGCTCCCCCGGCTCCGTGGCAGTATTGGGCGGGGTGTGACGGGGAGACGGTCCACACTTGGCCTGGGATGGCAGCAAAGAGGACTCCCTGCGAAGGCCCCGAGCCCAGGAGCCTTTCTGAGCTCAGGTCGTGGGCCTGGGTCTGAGGAAGCCCCTCCGGTCCCGTCAGGTGACACGGAGTCACTCTCGTCTGTTCCCGCGGCTCACCCGGGAGAGGGGGCATGCGGCCGGGCCCCCTCCCAGCGCTCCTCTCCCCGCAGGTGGGGAACTACAAGCGGACGGTGAAGCGCATCGATGACGGCCACCGTCTGTGCAGTGACCTCATGAACTGCCTGCATGAGCGGGCGCGCATCGAGAAGGCCTACGCCCAGCAGCTGACCGAGTGGGCGCGGCGCTGGAGGCAGCTGGTGGAGAAGGGTAGGCAGCACCCGCCCTGCGCCCTCTCTCACCTCTCCGTGGCTGGTTGGGGAGGGGGCGTGGGCAGGGCTGCTGCCGTCCTGCCGCCTGGGCCGGCCAGCGCTCCCTCTCTCCTTGGGGACCCGGGGCAGAGCCTCTGGGACGCTCCACTGACCTGTTTCTCCCAACGTGGTTCCGTTCACGCCTTTCCCGGGGGTCCCAGTGTCGCTGGGCCTTGCCAGGAAAAGCGATGGTGACCGTGGCGGCCCCACTGTTGCGTCTCAGCAGGAGGCACTGTGGGGTGGGGTGGTGCAGGGCCTGTGGCCTGATGCTGCTGTGGCTGCGGACCCCAGGGCGTCTGAGGAGGCATTCCTGGGACCTAAGCCAGTGAGGGGAATCTCTCGGGGGTGGGGCCCTTCGATGCTGGCCAGGGGGGTCAGAGGCCTGGGGACGGGGGCCCTCAGTCGCCTCAGCCGATGTCGACCTGCACCTGCGGCCCTTTGCACAGACTCTGCCAGCCTGGGTGGCCGAGCAAGTGAGCGGGGTGATGACGGCACTCAGGAGCAGAGCCGTCCCCTCTCGGGCTCGGGGCTTGAGGTTCGCAGAGCACTTGCCTCTCCCCGCCTCGCTGTCTCTCCCGCACCCACAGGGCCCCTCTAGGCCCCTGCCTCCTGAGCACCCATCAAGAAAATGACGGGCTGGGTTGTTTCCTTCCTGAGGACGGGGGAGGGACTCAGGCACCCCATCCCCCTCTTTGGGTATTTCCATCTGGGCCAAAGCAGGTGTCTGCCACCAAGGCCTCTTGCCCCCCGGATACGGCTTCATCCCACTGGGAGCCAGCATTGTGGGGGGGGTCTCTCCCTGCCGCCCTCCCTGGGGTCGGGGGCCACAGGGCCAGCAGAGGGACAGAGGTGGGTGGACCTGTTGCACAGAGGCAGAAGCCAGTGAAAATGCCAAGATTCAGGCTTGCGGGTCTTTTTTTTTTTTTTTTAAAAATAGGTGGGCAACTTCAGACGAAGGAAATGGGTGTAATCCACCAATTTCCCTTGACAAAAGAATGCCAACAAGTCCAGCTTCGGTTCCTTAATTCTTTTCTTCATCCCAGGAGCAGCCACTGAGAGAGACATTTACACAGCCACACGGATGCTCTTGGGCTGGGCTGTGGGGGTGGGGAGGGTCCCCCGGGCCGAGTGGCGGTGCCCAGTAACCCACCGGCCTCTCTCCCTCCGGCCAGGGCCGCAGTATGGAACGCTGGAGAAGGCCTGGACGGCCTTCATGGTGGAGGCAGAGCGCGTCAGCGACCTGCACCTGGACGTGAAGACCTCGCTGATGAACGAGGACTTCGAGAAGATCAAGAATTGGCAGAAGGAGGCTTTCCACAAGCAGATGATGGGAGGCTTCAAGGAGACCAAAGAGGCCGAGGACGGCTTCCGGAAGGCGCAGAAGCCCTGGGCCAAGAAGCTGAAGGAGGTGCGCCCCCTGCTGGCTGAGGCTGCTCTGCCCGTCCGTCCCGGGCCAGCGCTTCCTGGGGCCCAAGATGCTTCGTGCTGTGCTCCCCAGGGTGCTCCCCTCCCTGGGACGTCCCCAGTCCATCTTACAGCCCCGGACACTGATGGAACCATGCCCTGGGGCAGCACACACCCAGCCTCTCAGACACCTGCAGTGCCTCCCCGCCCTGGTCACTGATGGAAAAAGGCCCTTTGGGGGCTGGAGCCTTGGTGCCCTGGGTGGGGCATTCTTGTGTGTGGTCCACCCAGGTTCCATTTCCCGAATCCCAGAGCACTGCTGAAGTGATATCTGAGTCCTGAGTGCAGAGTCCAGGAGTAAGCCCTGAATACAAGGGTGTGCCCTACCTTCCCCCGCCCCCCACAGAGACCCTCTGGCCTAGTAGAAAGGATTAATCAAAATTCTATTCTTCGGGATTTTTTGTTCTCAAATTTTTTTTTTAAGTTTTACCTTAGGGAATAGCCAGCATTTTTTTACAGTAGTCTTCAATTATTTTTTATTTATTTATTTATTTTATCTCCAGCCCCTGGATATATTTTTTACCTCCAGTCTGTTTTCTCAGCGTGGCTATGGAAGCCCTGGGGTCTTGTCTGCAGGGTGACCTGCCTCCCTGGCCCTCAGCATGGCCCCTGCAGCCAACTGGCCGTTGCCTTTCCCTGACCCTGCCCGTGCCCCCACCCTTCTCAGGGCCTCTCCGACAGGCTTGCTTTCTGTCCTTGGTGTCTTGGCCACATCGCCTTTCTCTTCCTCTGTCCCTGACCCTGTTGATGAGAAACCAGTTGCAACCTCGTCTTGCCTCTCGAGAACAATTTCTGACTTCTGACCAGAGGCCACGTCGGCCTGGTGGTGTGCACGTTCTTCATCTCTGTGTGGAGCAGCCGCTGCCTGGGCAGAAATTGCATCCCGAGGCCGCTTCCGAGCACGGCCCCTCTTGGAGCCACCTGTGTCCACCACTCGGCGGCCTGGCCTGCTCTTGCCCCTCGCAGCTGCACCTGCCCGATTTTCATTCTCATCAGTTTTGTTTCCTCTGGTTTTGTTTTCCTTTTTCGTTTTTTGCACCCACCGTCCTTCCCTCTGTTGTTGGGGCTGCAGTGATGGGTGCCGATGGGCGCTGGCACATGCTGTTCGCCGGGGGGTCACTTGGAGTCGCACATCTGCTTCCTGAGGGGTGGGGCCTGCTGGCCACGGGGCTAACATGAGTCTCAGAAACAGCGCACTCCCGGTGTGGTGCTCTGAAGAGCCGGCACAGGCAGCGCTGGGGCCCAGAAGCAGAGCTGCCAGGACCGCTCCCAGCGTGCACAGTCGGCCTGGGCCTGGGACTTGGGGCCTCGCTTGCACAGCAGGACTTTTTTTTTTATTGAATCACCGTGAAATAGTTACAAAGCTTTCATGTTCGAGTTCCATCTCTCCACCAGTGCACATTCTCCACCACCAATGTCCCCAGTATCCCAACCCTCCCAACCCTCCCCCTGTCTCCAGGGCAGACAGCTTCTCCCTTTCTCTCTCTCCTTTTGGGCATTATGGTTTGCAGTATAGATACTGAGAGGCCATCACGTTTGGTCCTTTATCTGCTTTCAGCACACATCTCCCATCCCGAGCGCTCCCTCCAACTATCATTGACTTGGTGGTCCCTTCTCCATCCCAGCCGCCTTCCCCCCCAGCTCATGAGGCCAGCTTCCAACTATGGAGCCGTGTTCCTGACCCTTGTGTCTACTGTCCCTGGGTGTCTGTCTCTATTATGTTATTTTATGTTGCGTGGCAGGATGTTTAGCCCCTGAGGTCTCTCCAGGAGCACGTGGGGCCAGAAAGCCCGGAGCCTTCCTGCCCCTGTGGCTCCATGCTTCCTGGAGGGCTCTCTCCAGCCCTCGTCTGGGTGCTTGCTCAGCCCCGACGGGCCCGGGAGCTCCCTCTTCGGTGCTTTTCCACGTCTTACTCGGTGACTTGATCCTGTGCTTGCCTCCCCTCCCCGCTCCCCGGCCAGACCGTGCAGGCTGGCATGAGGATGTTCCTGCTGTGCCCCTCTGGGCAGCGCGGGAGGGCCCCCAGCTCTGCGGATCCTCTGGTGAGGATTTGGGGTTTTCCTAATGAGCCACTCAGGAGCTCGCTCCTCCTGCAGGTAGAAGCAGCAAAGAAGGCCTACCACGCAGCCTGCAAGGAGGAGAAGCTGGCCATCTCGCGAGAAAACAACAGCAAAGCAGACCCGTCCCTCAACCCCGAGCAGCTTAAGAAATTACAAGACAAAGTCGAGAAGTGCAAGCAAGATGTACTCAAGGTGGGCTGCGCACCTCTGGCATGTCGGACGCACACGACTGCCATCACGGGCGGCACATAGGCTGGTGCCTGGCAGACACGTAACCGTCAAGCCCGTTCCTGGGGGCACCAGACCCCGGGCATTTCCCAGCCCGATGCTGTGCAGGAGTGGGGGGGGGCAGGGCGGCAGCGCGGCGTGACCAGAGGGTGGGAGAGCCAGATTCCCAGTGCTGGAAAGACATGCTGCTGACAGGGAGCCACTAAAAGAAGGTTCTGGAGCCTGGGGAGGGGAGGGCAGCGGGGTGGAGGCCCTGATACTTTCTAATTGCTCTGGAAGGCAGTGACAGGAGTCCCCGTAGAGGGTCAGGCTGGAGAGCGTCCCCAGGAATGTGTACCCAGCAAGAACAGCGCCACACCTGCCCGGTCCCTCAGAGCACTCGCCCTCAGAACCCAGACACGCAGCTGTGGGCATCGGTGACAGAGCCGCCCTCCGCTAGCTCTGCAGGGCCTCCCGGGAGCCCTCGCGGTGCCCAGTGGCAGTGGGAGGCCCCAGAGCTCCGGCCTGGGGGACCTGAGAAGCTGGTTGATGTCAGAGACAGTGGCCTGAGAGGGGCTTGTGGGTGTAGAGGGCTTTGTCTTCGTGCCCCCGCCTGGCCCAGACCTGGATTCCAGGCACCCACCTGGATTCCAGGCACTCAAAGGGCTGGGGGCCTTGGAGCTAGAACTGGAGGGGGACCGGGGGGCGGGCCGGGTCACTGTCCGCGGGGCGCTCATTCCCCTCCGGTCACCCGTGAGGCTGGCTTCCCCTTGTCACCTGCTCCCCCAGCCCCCGTGCGGGTGGGTGGAGGTGTGACTAGGGTCAGAGCAGGGCCGCGGGATGGGGCCAGTGGCGCTGAGCCGGGGCTGGGTTTCCCGCAGACCAAGGACAGATACGAGAAGTCCCTCAAGGAGCTGGACCAGGTGACCCCCCAGTACATGGAGAACATGGAGCAGGTGTTCGAGCAGTGCCAGCAGTTCGAGGAGAAGCGGCTGCGCTTCTTCCGGGAAGTTCTGCTGGAGGTGCAGAAGCACCTCGACCTGTCCAACGTGTCCAAGTAAGTGTCCTTCCCGCCACCACACACGTCACAGTGAAGCTGGGGAAGCCACCGCTCTGGGAAATGTCACCCGGGACCCCTCTGCCGAACCCGCCCACCCGCACCACTGCTCTTGGGCCTGAGGAGGCCCTGCTCCGTGCTCTAGGATGCGGGGGAGGGAACCTGTTCTGGCCACACCGGACCAGGAGCAAGTCCCACACCTTTCGGTGGCACACCCCGGCCCGCAGCTGACCTCTGGCTCAGCCCCGACTTCAGTGGCCCGTGTGAATTTGTGGTATCCGGATCACGGCCAGGAGCGTGAGCGCTCCTCTGTCCCCTGCCTGTCCCAGTAGGCATCTGGGCTGACGCATTGTTGTCCATGTAGTGAAGCCACCAGGGTCCAAGGTCAGGGCCTGCTGTCAGTGGAACATTCATTTCCATGATGGCCTTCTGCCTAAACTCCAAGGCAGCTGTTACTGGCAGCTCCCTGCCTCCGTCCGTTCATCTTTATGATAGTCTCAGACAATAGGTGCTCCTGATTTCCAGCTTATTGGTGGGGAAACTGAGGCTGAGCACAGTGGAATGATTGGCAGGGACAACACAGCCAGCAGACCTTCTGGTCCAAGCTCACCAGACCTTCTGGTCCAAGCAGCAGAGGATATGGTGCCCGTCCCCCGTGGGCAGGTGTCGCCTAATCGGGTCCTTGGTACAGACGGACTGAAGGCAACACCAGAGTGACCCAAACTAGGTGACTTCACTGTCGAGCACGAACAGCCCAGCCAGCAGAACAGTGAAAATACTTGAGACTCTTTGCCTGATTCTGTCCTGCATCCAGGTGCCCCCCTTAAATGGTGGCCATGGATTCGGGCCGCCCTGTTGGCAGGTTTTAATTCAGTCGCCTCCGTGAAGGTCCCGCTCGGAAGCACGAGGGGCCTCGCATTTCCCCCTTAACCGAGGCCACTGCCCCAGCAGAGTAAGGTTCTGAGGCCCAGAGCAGGTGAATCACCGACGTGTGACTGTCCCCCATGGGACATCTGAGCTGTCAGCAGCGGGTGCTGCCGAGGGAAGGGGTGTGGTGTGAGCCAGTGTGGTTGCCAGGCGGCCTTGGCACATCTGCCCACTTTGGGGAGGGCTGCGGGCAGCTCTGCTGACTCCATTCTGGACCCGATAATGGACTCACCCTGGTGGCCGTGCGGCCGGGATCCGGTGTCCCCTGCTCTGTCACCGGGCAGAGCTGCTGCCACTGGTCTGCTCTAAAGCCCATGTGTTGGCAATGCGGCCACGGCTTTCCGGCCTCGGTTGTTGTCACCCCCGTCCGGCTGTGGCCGCCAGATGTGGCGGGGACTTGCATTTCTGCAGAGCACGGGGCCCGAGTGACCGGCCCGTGGCCCTCTCCCATGCAGCTACAGAAGCATTTACCGAGACCTGGAGCAGAACATCAAAGTGGCGGACGCCGTGGAGGACCTGCGCTGGTTCAGGGCCAACCACGGCCCGGGCATGTCCATGAACTGGCCACAGTTTGAGGTAAGGGAGGCTGCGTCCAGCCCCTGGCCGGGGAGGCTGAGCCCCGGGGCCAGTACACGCTGTCCCTCTCCCTCCACCACCACTGGCCTTTCCTGTTGGGCAGCAGCACCGCTGTCTGGAGCCAGGCCACTGTCGCGCCCTCGGAAGCTCCGGGAGGGCTGTGCACCGCCCAGTGAGGGTGCGGCCACTCTGCATGGTCAGGGGATGGGCAGCTCCATCCCAGCCAGCCCCTCCTAGGCCCTGAGAGAGTGGATGCACTGTCCACTAGGGGCCTGGTCCCTGCCTGGTAGCCCCCCCCCCCCACCCCCTCAGCTTGCCCTGTCCCTGTCCACCTGCAGTGCGGCCAGTTCTGGGGTGCTGCCTCCTGGAGCTCCTTGAGAAGTGGCCCTGGGTGCAACGTGGGGACTATTGAGAATCCTGTGTCCCCCCGCACAGGGCACCTGCTCCCAGCATGGGGCCCAGAGCAGGGTGGCCTCACCTCCCCTCGGGTACCCAGCAGGAGGATTCTGGGCACCCAGTGAGCAGAGGGGTCTGGAAAGGAAGCCTTGGCGGCTGAGCAGGGAGGGTGACCTGGCCGGCGCCATGGGGGCCCCTTCCCTGTGGGTCCCGCGGGCAGCCAGCGGGGGTCCAGTGCTTACCATCCCGCTTTCCTCTAATGCCTTGCCTTGTCTTTATTTTCCATGCTTCAGGATGAAGTAAGTCTCCAGTTTCATGGCTTAGTGAGCCCCCAGCCTCCCGTGGGGGGGAGGGCGGGGGGCCTCAGGGCTGCTTAAGAACTCTCAGATGCCTGATCCCAGGAACCGCAGGACACTGCCTGTAGCCAGCTGCCTCTCTCTCCCCTTGCGCGACCCCCCCCCCCCCGCCCCCCGCCCAGCGGTCCCCTGGGTCGCTGGCAGGTGGAGGCAAGCTGGGAGAAGCAGGGCTGCCCGCGCTGTCTCTGTCCCGGCCCCTCCCGGCCCCAGCATGCTGCCCTGGGGGGACACGGCTTTGCTCCTTGGGCCCCCAGCAGGCAGCTCGGAATGAAAAGGAGCTTTTGTTCAGGGAAACCAAGAGGCTCTGCCCCTTGGCACTGCATTACCCGGCTCTCTGCACTCTCCTGCCCGGTTCTGCTCCACACACTCCAGAGCACCCTACTCTCGGGCCTGGCCTCACGCCTCCCGGTACCTGCAGTTCAGAGCATTGCAGGGAAGGGGCTGATGGGCCGCCCTCGGGCTGCCTGGAAGGGGCAAGGAATCTGATGAGGCCCCAGGCTCCCCCCTCTGGCCTCGGGGGGCTGGAGTAAGTGCCCCAGGAGGAGAGGGAAAAGACTAGAGACTTAGGGCGGTACCCAGGACACTTGAGTGGCCCCTACCTCCTTCCAGCCATCTGCTGAGGGACCTGGGGGTCCTTCTCCCGGGGGCTCCTCAGGGCTCCTCCCCAGTCCCAGAAGAGGGGGCGGGAGCTTGAGGCTTGCCAGGCAGTGAGGGGAGCACCGGAAACTGGGGCCAGGGCTGGTGGGTGGGGTTAGCCAGCTGTGCCCCCATAGGCTCCCTGATCTCTGTCCCTTGTGCGCTGCCCAGGAGTGGTCTGCAGACTTGAACCGGACTCTCAGCCGGAGAGAGAAGAGGAAGGCCGCTGACGGCGTCATGCTGACGGGCATCAGCCAAACGGGCGACCAGGCCGCGCCACACAAGTCCAGCAGGTGGGTGCAGGCAGCCCCGGCCAGGGCCAGGCCCCGGTGTCCTCTGCCAGATGCCAGACTGTGCCTTGGGGCCTCGGGAACGTCCAGAGGAAGCCCTGGCCGCAGGCCGCTCGGGCCGCCATAGCCCTGCGGTGTCGGGCGGAAGCCTGGGGAGTCGGGCAGGAGGAGGCGCTGTTGCGTGTCCCCTTTGTCTGGCTTCACTGTTGGCTGAGCCACAGTCGGGGGGGAGGTGGCACTGGAGTCCCCAGAGCATCCGGGACAGCGTGGCTAGACCTTCGAGCAGGCCTCAGGCTTTCTGGCAGACGGGTGCCCTAGGCCCCCCACAGGGGGATGTCTCCCCGCTGGGGCAGCCGCCCTGGCTTCCTGGGCGATGGATCCATTGTCCCTCACCAGCAAGGTCAAGTGACTGGCACCACGGGCCTGTTGCAGAACCCAGCCGGCAGCTGGATGGGGGTGGGACATGGTGACATCACCTCCAGGGAGTTTAGGGGGGTAGGTCCTAGACTGGCCAGTGCTGCTGCCCTGACCCCCAGAAAGTCAGCTGGAGAAAGGTGCCTCAGGAAGGGAGGGGCCGGTGATGTGACGGGTGTCCGGAATGTGGGCAGTGGCAGGTTGGGGTCAGCGAGACTATTGCTGGCTGCTGCGGGTCCCTCTGGTGCCGTTCAAGCACTTCCGCCCTTACCTGCCCAGCTTCAGCTGACCACCCTGGAGCTCCCCCAAGTCCGTCCCCCCCCACACACACACACACGCCCTGCCCTTTCGTTTGCTCCAGCCGTTGCTAGACCCCTTGCAGGCAGGCAAGCAGGCCTCTGGCAAATCGGGCTCCGTCTCTATTCTGGGTCCTGTGAGTCTTCTCCCTGCGCCTCGGACCTGTCTGTGCAGACAGATCGGGATGGGTGTCTTCGGGCTTCCATGCTGCTAAGCCGGGGCTCCCGCACCCGGTAGGCTCCTCGCCAAGTGCCTGCCCGTTCCCAGCATCGGGAGGAGGGCCACGGGCCCCTTGGCGCCGCTGGAAGGGCTAGTCTGTGCGGCCCTGCAGACCGTGTTTTCTGCCCGGCGCTCAGAGCGTTCCTGGCTGCTGGATGCTCCCCATTTCTCCCATGCCACAGGGTGCCCCTGTGACCCTGCAGCAGGGCGCACCCAGGATCACAGGGGCTGCCGCGCCAGGGTCCCCTGAAATCTCTCTCTCTCTCTCTCTCTCTCTCTCTCCCTCTCTCTTCCCCCCCCCTTAGTGACCTGAGTGCCCCGAACAACCCCGCCCGGTCAGCGCTGTCCCTGTCCAGCTACAACCCTTTTGATGACGAGGACGATACGGGGAGCACCGTCAGTGAGAAGGAGGACACCAAGGCCAAAAAGTTGGTGAACACCCTATGCTCGGGGGCCCGGTCACTCGCCCTGTGTCTGTCCTTGCTCTGGCAGCCGCTTGCCCGCTTGGCTCCCCGTGCAGTGCGTGAGCCCGGCCACTCGGGAGGCGCCACGCACCACGACGGCCGCTTTCTCTGTCCCGCGCTAACCCGGGTGCTGGCTGGGGGGCCCACGCGGGGCGTGAGGCTGAGGGCGAGTCCTCCGCCCTGGCCCCCGGCGGCTCCCCTGCTCAGGGCCCCACTCGCCCCTTTTCTTGCAGCGCGAGCAGCAACGAGAAGGCTCCGAGCTACCCCGCCGACTGGTCGGACGATGAGCCCAGCAACCCCTTCTCATCCGCCAGAGCCAACGGGGACTCCAACCCTTTCGAGGAGGACACCCCCGGGACAGAAGTGCGGGTGCGGGCCCTGTACGACTACGAAGGGCAGGAGCATGACGAGCTGAGCTTCAAGGCCGGTAGGTGCCGGGGGGGGCGTTTCCGTTGGGCCACTCTCCTTTGTGGCTCCCCCACCCCCACCCCACCCCCCCAGTGTCAGAGCTTAGCGGTGCTGGGTGGGCACAGGGGTGTCTCGTCCTTTGTCCGGGAGGCCACCCCGCAGGTGAGCCCGCACACACAGGCATGGAGCGGGAGTGCTGCCCGGCCCGCAGCGCCCAGGACAGTCTGTCCAGAGCCCTCGGGGCCCCCCGCCTGTAGACCACGCTCACCCCGTGGCTGCCAGCAGCCTGGCCCCGTTTCCCGGGACAGCCTGGGTCCCCCTCCTGTGCGCTCTGCCTGCCCAGGGTCTCCTGCTTCTGCCGGTCGCTGTAGCTCCAGGGTCACTTCACCAAAGGGCTAAAATGCCCATTCTGAAGCCCACCTAGGGCAGCTGTAGCCCTGAGCCCACCAGCATGGGCCAAAAGGAAGCCCTTCCTTCCTTCCTTCCTTCCTTCCTTCCTTCCTTCCTTCCGTCCTTCCTTCCCTCCTTCCCTCCCTCCCCCTCTCCCTCCCTCCCCTCCCTCCTTTTCTCCCTCCCTCCCTCCCTCCCTCCCTCCCTCCCTCCCTCCCCCCCCACCCCTTCTGGAAGCCCCTGAAAGTGCAGCCACCTCTCAAGGGGTGAATGCCTTACGGTGTGCCTCAGGGACCGCCAGGAGTGAGCCTGGAGTCCCCCACTGCTCGACTCTTCTGGGCCGTGACCCCCCTTTCCAGCTCGGGGTGGTTTTCCTGACACCTTGTTGCTTGAGTCCCAGTGTCCTCACTCTTATCTAGTGGCTCTTTCAGCCGTTTATGATGGACGCAAAGACTTCTGCTGTAAGTGAATTATCACACACAAACTCATCCGAACAAATGTTCGTTCCCATCAAAGAAATTCTTTTTTATTGAATCACAATTACATGGCTTACATGTAATTCATGAATTACAAAGTTATTTGTGATCGAGTTTCAGGCATGTAATGTCCCGACACCCGTCCCTCCACCAGTGTCCCCAGATTCCCTGCCGACCCCCCAGTCTCCCTCTGGGGCAGGCACTATTTTTTCTCTTTTCCCTTCCCCCGCCCCCTTTTAGCTACTGTGGTTTGCCTTCTTGTTACTGACGGGTAACATGCATGTCACGTTACCTTCTTCCATCATCTACCCCTGGTCCAGAGTGACCACTTCTCTCTCTCTGTCTCTGTGGTCCTTCCCTGACCTGTCCCCCCCAGCCCCCAATGGTGATAAGCTTCACGCTGAGGACCAGTCCTCCTCCACTGCCCTCGGGCGTTCGTTACTCCCGTGCTCTGCTTCCGTGTATCCTGCCTGTGAGTGAGTGCATTGTGTCTGGCCCCCTCCCTCTGACTCACTCGGCACGACACCGTCCAGATGGCAGCACGCTGTCCGACCTGGCCCCCTCACGGCCGAGTAGTGTTCCACCGAGTGGACGGACCCGCGTCTTGAGCCACTCACTGTTCCTGGGCACTCGGGTTGTTTCCAGATTTGGGCTGTTGTGAATAATAGCGCTGCAGTGAAACGCAGCTGCCCCTGCTGCGTCGTGTTTCGGGGCCCTTGGGGTGTGTCCCCAGGACTGTTTCCATCGTTCCTTATTTCTGCATTACCCCGCCCCGTTTTCCATCGGAAACTCTCCTGCCCTGCCACCCAGTGCAGTGCCCTTTCCCGGTACTATGAGAGCTGGTTCCTGGCCAGCGCCCTGTCCTCGGTCCCACGCATGCTCAGAACGGGCTGCCAGCACCGTGCAGGGCAGGTGGGAGGAGGGAGGGGGGAGGAGGTGGGGCCGGGTCAGGCTGCAGGGGTCCACGGAGACACTGGGCAGGGAGCGTCCTCGGGAGGACGAAGCCACCACCCTCTCTGCCGACCAAAATCGAGTCTGCTGGTTTGGGGGCCAGAACGGCACGAGGGTCCCGGGCTGCAGCCCTGTGCTCCCTCCAGAGGTCTGAGCTCAGGGGTCCCTGCTGGCGCCTCAGCACAGCCCCGCTCCGCGTACAGCCTGCTCCGACTCGGAGGCCGCCAGACCGCGGCGCCAGGACTGACGGGACCCCAGGGTCAGGTGCCCCCCGTGTGCTGAGCGGCCCCGGCACCTCCGCCTCGTGTCTTGCAGGGGAGGAGCTGACCAAGGTGGAGGACGAGGACGAGCAGGGCTGGTGCAAAGGACGCCTGGACAACGGGCAGACGGGCCTGTACCCCGCCAACTACGTGGAGGCCATCCAGTGACAGCGGGGCCGGGCTGGCGAGGGCTGGAGGCCGTGGGCCCAGGAGAGGCGCCTTCCCCGCCACAGACGGAGGCTCCGTCGCTGCCAGCTTCATGGTGTCTCCTGCAGACAGACGAGCTGCTCCTCCCCGGGGCCGCCACGGGGCTCCCCGCCCCCCCAGGCTGCGTGCGTGCGTGCGTGCGGCCTGGCTCCGTCTGTGCTCCCTGACCCTGGGTGCCCCCTCCCCGGGCCGTAGTGGGTTCGGTACCCTGAATCTCGTTTCCCTGCTTCCGTCTCCGGTGAGGGCCCGTCACCCACCAGTGAAATGAACAAAAATGCCATTTTCTGAGCGAAGATCTTGAGATTTTTTTTTTAATTTAAAGGCTCTTGTACAGTTGGGGTTTGTTTTTTTTTTTATATATATAGATACCTGTTCTTCCATTCATTTGTACTTAAGTTATGGCACAGAAGGATGCTCCGCCCGCCCCCGGGTTCGAGTCCCCTCCGTCTTTGTCAGCAGCCAGGCCAGGCCAATGCCCTGCACCCCACAGCCTGCACCCCGTAGCAGCAGCAGACGGGGGGCACATTTGCTCGCTCTCAGGACACACCTCACGCTCGGGGACCTTGGTGCATTCCCCAAGGCGACTCTCACCGGTTTGCCATATTTAAAGCCTATTTTCACACTCTACACCCTGACTCCTCCCAGCCACCCTCGGTGCCAGGAGTGAGACTTCTTGTCTGCGTTCCAGGCGCTCTCGGGGGCCGGGAGCACTGTCTGCTGTCTCGCTGAGTTGGGGCCTGGGACACAGGCCTGGCTGCTGGGCTGGACGCGGGGCCCGCACAGGAGTAAGTCCGAGCGGTTGGACCCCCCGGCTCCCCGCCTGCGTCCTTCCCGTAGCACAACACTGGAAACCTCCGTCCTCGGCCAGCCACAGAGGCCATAAGCGCCCCCTCCTCGGGCACCCCCGCAGCGGGCAGGCCTTCAGGGGCGCCCGGCGGGGAAGGCACACGTGTCCCTCCCACCACACAGTACCTTCCCGGCAGGAACTCGCGTTCCCTTGCTACAGATGACCAAAATTCTCTCTTCAGTTTAGGAATGTCGTTAAGCCGCTAGAATTTTAGAAAAAAAAAATCAATAAACAGTTGATCTTGCAAATCTGCCAGCGTCTGTACCACATGCAAGCCTCGGGCATGCGCCCCAGCTGGGGACGTATCTGCTGCGACTCCTGGGCCACCATCCCGGATGCCTCCCCTCAGGGCTCCCCTCTCCCCAAAGCCTGCCCGTGTGCTGTGGGCCTCCCTTAGTGGGTGCCAAGTCTCCCCAAACAGCAGCACCTGGCCTGGGGGCTCTCATCACCCTGCCTCTCGGAACCCTTTTCCTGCCTGTGCCGGGCTCGGGGAGGCCCGAGACTGTGTGCCCGCTGGGTGCTAAGGAGCGCAAGGGAGGCAGGGGGAGATGGGGTACACCCACCTTTGCAGAAGATGCGGAAGAAACGTTGGGCTGAGTACTCCAAGGTTCCAGGACACCTGGGGCTCAACCCTCATTTATGGAGGCCGCAGGGCTCAAAAGTCGGGGTGTAACCTCCCGTCCACCTGAGAGCGACCCGAGGGGCCCTGGGTCCCCTGCCCTGAGGAACCAGCCACCTCCCGCCCCCTCAGGCCTTTCCCTCCTCCCCAGAGAGGTTCCAGGTCCGACTCAAAGGAGACCCCCGGACGACGGGCCCCAGAGTACAGACCCCAGGGGCTGTGTGCCGGCCGTGTGCTGAGCATGACCCCACACTGCTGCTTTCTGTCATGGGGAGGAGCGGCCCCTACCCCCTGCCCTGTCTTGTCCTTGCGGGGGGTGTGGAGGGAATTGGGAATCTCTTTTTTTCCTTTTTGCCTCATGCCCAGTGATGCACACAGGGGTCCCTCCTGGCTCTGCAATCAGGAATGAGTCCTGGCGGTGCTCAGGGGACCCGATGGGATACTGGGGATCGAACCCGGATGCAAGACAAATGCCCTCCCTGCTGTGCTATCACTCCAGCCCCCGGGACTTGGGAATCTTAACTCAGCCCTCTGGGCCTCAATTTTCCCAAAATGGCATCTGCATCCAGCTGGAGGAAGGGGTGAGGCCAATGCCACGAGCAAGCACCTCGTGGTCCCTGGTGCGACCCTCAGGCCTTGTGCCCCATTTCCGCCAGCCATGTTCCATCCCCCCAGGACCACTGCTGCGTCCTGACCCAAGGTGGGGTCTCCTGATCCTGGGCATCCACAGCACAGGGGCTCCGCCACCCCTCAGTCCCCCACCTGCCGGACTAAACACCCTGGCTGTATGGCCACCTGCATGTGGCGTAGCCGGTGGCTCCCCAGGGAGAAAGGGCACGCGAGGGTAAGGTGTGAGGTGCTCACGGTCAGAGTGAAAAACTGGGGGTGCCGAGGTAGGCCTGAACCCCAACGCTGGGAGGGAATTGGGGGGCTGAACAAGCTGTGCGGGATGCGGGTGCACTCAGGAATAAGGACCCCCGGGCTTGGCTTCTTCGAAAATGAGCCTGTCGCCAGGGCCCCAGCTGGGCTGTCCCACCTTGGGACACGCCCTGGAGACAGGGTCGCTCATGCTGCAAACTGAGTGAAACCCGAGGGTGCCCCAGGCATGCTCAAGATGCTGCTGAAGTCCCAAGGGGTCAGCCACAGATCCAGGAAACGGTCACGGGGAAACACGTGATTCCAGGCGCACTGGGAGGAGAAAATCGCCAAGAGCGAAGGAGGGAACTGGGCAGGGGCAGATGAAGAAAAACCTTTGCACTGTGGCGACGGAATCAAGGTTGGGGTGGGAGCAGACATCGGGGACGCATCAGGACCCACGGGCAGAGGGCCGAGACAAGGGGGAGGGGCCTGTCTGGAAAACAAGGCCTCAGGGGGAGCTGGGCACCAGTTGTGGTTCTGGAAGGCAGATGAGTTGTTACCTACTGGGGGGACACAGGGAGGGCGCTGACAAGTGCAGCATTCGAAAGGCCCACTCACGCCAGTGGGCAGAGAAGTTGTCACTGGCCCCCGCACACACACATCATGGGACCCTCGCCCTCAGGGGGTAAGGGGACCCCATGTCGGCACAGGATACCAGAGAGCCTGGAATAAGTCAAGGGTCCCTGGCTCTTGGCGGGTGGCGGGTACGTGTCCGTTACGCTGACAGCTCAGCATTCACACAGCTGGGCTCTGTCCTGTCACTGAATGTGGGTCGGATGATAGTATTGAGGCCGAGGACATAGGGCGTAAAGGCCGTGCCTTGCCTGTGACAGACCCCAGTTCAATCCCTGGCACCCCAGATGGTCCATCGAGCACTGTCAGGACTGTCGCCTAAGCACAGAGCCGGGAGTCAGCCCTGAGCATTACCAGCTGTGGTCCCCAAACAAAATTCTACGAATCCTGGAGACTGGAGACCATCTTCTTTTCCCATGGTTTCTCTCAGACCTCCCCACACCCTCTCCACATTCTTATCCAGGGAAATATTGACTAGACCGCGCTGGCATCCAATGGTCAGGGCACAGCGGCCAACACAGAACAATAGTGCCGCTTTTTAGGGCCACCGAGGCGCAGAGTTCATTTTCTCCCTCACAGACCCCGGCTGACAGATGGAGAAGGGTCAAGACGTTGGAAGCAAATGATCACTTGATCACTTCCCGTTAAATCATCGAGTTGCTCGAGCGGGCGCCAGTAACGTCTCCATTTGTCCTTGTCGCGTGCTAGTGTAGCCCAATGACTGTCTGTTCGTTCTAGGAACACGAAGAGCCTCAAACTAATCGCTCAGGGTCTTGACGAAGAAGTCTGACCATCTGGTAGGTGGGCGGCCACGCGATCTTTTGACGTCCCGTGGAATCCAGTCGGTAACGGCTCTAGTCCAGGGGTCGTCTCCAAATCTCATTACGTGAGAAGGAAGCAAGTGAATGATCTCTAAGAGGCCCTGCTGATGTATAAGGGGAAACACAAGACCAGCATAATACGGGCAGCCTAGGTTCGATCCCCGGCATCCCATATGGTGCCCTGAGCACCGCCAGGATTCCTGAGTGCAGAGCCAGGAGGAACCCCTGAGCATCTCCAGGTGTGACCCAAAATGCCAAAAGAAAACAAAAAAAGAACAGCGTAATAAATACAATTGATTCTATGAATAATACAATACATTGTGCAAGCACACTTGTCACAGGCAACCTGGTGTCCTGTTATCCCCTGGTAACCAATGACCACAGGCATTGTGTCTGGAAAAGCTCCAGGTGCACTATCTCACACGTGCAAGGCCTGGACTTCGATCCCAGTGCTCTGGGTGTGGCCTGGTGCCCTCCCCACGGCTGGGCCAGCGCAGCACCACAGTTCAAGGTCCTGGCATTGAATTGCCAGTGCCCCCTGAGCACTGCTTGGGAGCCCCGCCCCACCCAAGAAAGCAACTCATCTCATTCTGTGGCTTAGAGCTCTGCCCAGCGTGAGCCTCAAAGGGAACAAGTGACCATGGGCTCAGCTAGGTAGCTGGCAGGTTTGGGCAGAGGGCCTGTTTCCGCGTTCTCTCTGCCTCCCGAGGCCGGAGCCTTGGCAGGGGTGGGGTGAAGCTGTTCAGGTAATAACCGGTTGTGGTCTGGCCGTTAGCTGAGTCTTCAGCCATGGGGGTTGGGGGGAGGTGGTGTTGAAGGAAGGTCCGAGAACCTTTGGGCAAAGGCACGTTCCTGCTTCAGCTGATGCCGGCAGGAGCAGGCAAGCCGACCTGTGCCTCATCCTCTCCCATCCTCTGTCTCTGACCCCAGCTGGGAAGCAGGTGGTGAACACGGGCCTCCTGGGCCATCCAGAATCCAGCCCCCCTTTCCAGACTCTTCTAAAGGAATCACGGCAAAATCCAGTCATCACAGATAACAAAACTCGTGACTCACTCAAGGAGTCAGTCACGCCTGTTCCACATCCACAGGAAGAGTGAGCAGAACAGAGTCCTCGGCCCCAGGTCTGTCAGGGCCGCGACATCCACTGACATAAAAGTTTCTGCAGGGGCTGGAGCGATAGTACAGCGGGGAGGGTGTTTGCCTTTCACGCAGCTGACCTGGGTTCGATTCCCAGCATCCTATATGGTCCCCCGAGCACCGCCAGGAGAAATTCCTGAGTGCATGAGCCAGGAGTGACCCCTGTGCCTCGCCGGGTGTGACCCAAAAAGCAAAAAAAAAAATAATAAAATAAAGTTTCTGCAGGAGGACGTGGCCCAGCTTCTTCTTACCCACGTCGGCTGGTTATGACACTAGCTAGAACTTTCCCAAATGAGGAAGGGATGGCACGTAATTTCCTCGCGTCAATCTTGGTAAACACTAAATTTTACTAATGATTTCCAGAGGCCCAGGTAAGTGTTGACCCAGGTCAAGACATTCTTGAAAAACAAGGTAATGGGGTTTAATTTAAGCTTTATAACCAAACCGGTTTTGTCCGCTCAGGGAATGAATGGACAAGGCCACTCTTCACTGAGCGTCCCGTTTTAACAATCGCTTCTGCAAAGCCCCATTCTCCGTGCAAGACAATTCTAAGTGTTAGGAACACCTCGGAGGGTTATTTTTCCGCCACACCTGGCGAAGCACTGGCTGAGTAAACCCAGGACACTGCAATTCCCAGAGCTCTGAAAAGTCAAATTTAATTTTCTTTTGGTTTTGGGGGCCACATCCAGTGGTGCTCAGGGCTTACTCCCGGCTCTGTGCTCAGGGATCACTCCTGGCAGGGCACCGGGGACCAGATGAGATGCAGAGGATCAAAGTCATTGGGCCACGGGGCTGGAGCGATAGCACAGCGGGTAGGGCATTTGCCTTGCACGCGGCCAACCCGGGTTCGATTCCCAGCATCCCATATGGTCCCCTGAGCACCGCCAGGAGTAATTCCTGAGTGCATGAGCCAGGAGTGACCCCTGTGCATTGCCGGGTGTGACCCAAAAAGCAAAAAAAAAAAAAAGAAAAAGTCGTTGGGCCATGCCCTCCCCACTGCACCCTCTGCGACCCCCCTAATTATTTTCTTTTCCTCTCCAGTTCTCCGCCTTATGTAGCGGGCAGGTGGCCGCCCGGAGTAGCGGCGTCTGCTGCTGCCCGTGCAACCAGCCCAAGCGGCGGGGCCGCCCGCCTCTGGCTGTGCGCGTGGCAGCAAAGCCCGCCCCGCCCAGGTGCCGGGAGCCGCGGGAGGCCTCTGCGCGTGCGCGGAACCCCGCGCAGGGCGCAGCATCTCCGTGACGCGAGGCGTGTGGGCGGGGGGGAGCGGACGGCCCCCGGAGGCGAGCTGCGCATGCTCGCGGGCGGGGGCGGGGCCGGGCCGCCGCGGGGCGGGGCCGACGTCGCGGTGGGCGTGGCCTCGCGCGCGGCCCCGCCCCCTCGGCCCGCGTCTGGCTCCCGGAGGCGGCAACCGCTCGGGCTCGGTCCTTCCCTGTTGTCGGGGCGCCGCGGCCTCGGGCTCCGGTGGCCATGGGGGACCCCAGCAAGCAGGACATCCTGGCCATCTTCAAGCGCCTCCGCTCCGTGCCCACCAACAAGGTGAGCGCCGCGGGGCGTGCCCCCGGGCTGGGCATCCCCGCGCCCGCGGGCGGCGCCCCCGGGGCCAGTGGCCGCGGCGGGGCGGGAGGAGGGGCCGGGCCGGCCTGTGACACGTCGCACTCGGGCCGCGCCGCCGCCGCCCGCCCGGACCCCCGTGCGACCCCCCGCCGGCCCGCCCGGACCCCCGTGCGCCCCCCCCCGCCGGCCCGGACCCCCGTGCGCCCCCCCCGCCGGCCCGCCCGGACCCCCGTGCGCCCCCCCGCCGCCCGCCCGGACCCCCGTGCGCCCACCCCGCCGGCCCGCCCGGACCCCCGTGCGCCCACCCGCCGGCCCGCCCGGACCCCCGTGCGCCCACCCGCCGGCCCGCCCGGACCCCCGTGCGCCCACCCGCCGGCCCGCCCGGACCCCCGTGCGCCCCCCCCCGCCGGCCCGCCCGGACCCCCGTGCGCCCCCCCCGCCGCCCGCCCGGACCCCCGTGCGCCCACCCCGCCGGCCCGCCCGGACCCCCGTGCGCCCACCCGCCGGCCCGCCCGGACCCCCGTGCGCCCACCCGCCGGCCCGCCCGGACCCCCGTGCGCCCACCCGCCGGCCCGCCCGGACCCCCGTGCGCCCCCCCCCGCCGGCCCGCCCGGACCCCCGTGCGCCCCCCCCCCGCCGGCCCGGACCCCCGTGCGCCCCCCCCGCCGGCCCGCCCGGACCCCCGTGCGCCCCCCCGCCGCCCGCCCGGACCCCCGTGCGCCCACCCCGCCGGCCCGCCCGGACCCCCGTGCGCCCCCCCCCGCCGGCCCGGACCCCCGTGCGCCCCCCCCGCCGGCCCGCCCGGACCCCCGTGCGCCCCCCCCCCGCCGGCCCGCCCGGACCCCCGTGCGCCCCCCCGCCGCCCGCCCGGACCCCCGTGCGCCCACCCCGCCGGCCCGCCCGGACCCCCGTGCGCCCACCCGCCGGCCCGCCCGGACCCCCGTGCGCCCACCCGCCGGCCCGCCCGGACCCCCGTGCGCCCACCCGCCGGCCCGCCCGGACCCCCGTGCGCCCCCCCCGCCGGCCCGCCCGGACCCCCGTGCGCCCCCCCCCGCCGGCCCGGACCCCCGTGCGCCCCCCCCGCCGGCCCGCCCGGACCCCCGTGCGCCCCCCCGCCGCCCGCCCGGACCCCCGTGCGCCCACCCCGCCGGCCCGCCCGGACCCCCGTGCGCCCACCCGCCGGCCCGCCCGGACCCCCGTGCGCCCACCCGCCGGCCCGCCCGGACCCCCGTGCGCCCACCCGCCGGCCCGCCCGGACCCCCGTGCGCCCACCCGCCGGCCCGCCCGGACCCCCGTGCGCCCACCCGCCGGCCCGCCCGGACCCCCGTGCGCCCACCCGCCGGCCCGCCCGGACCCCCGTGCGCCCACCCCGCCGGCCCGCCCGGACCCCCGTGCGCCCACCCCGCCGGCCCGCCCGGACCCCCGTGCGCCCCCCCGCCGCCCGCCCGGACCCCCGTGCGCCCACCCGCCGGCCCGCCCGGACCCCCGTGCGCCCACCCGCCGGCCCGCCCGGACCCCCGTGCGCCCACCCGCCGGCCCGCCCGGACCCCCGTGCGCCCACCCGCCGGCCCGCCCGGACCCCCGTGCGCCCACCCCGCCGGCCCGCCCGGACCCCCGTGCGCCCCCCCCCGCCGGCCCGCCCGGACCCCCGTGCGCCCCCCCCGCCGGCCCGCCCGGACCCCCGTGCGCCCCCCCCGCCGGCCCGCCCGGACCCCCGTGCGCCCCCCCCGCCGGCCCGCCCGGACCCCCGTGCGCCCCCCCCCGCCGGCCCGCCCGGACCCCCGTGCGCGCCCTGGCCGGGGCTCGGGCCGCGGCGGGCAGCCGGGGGTCCCCGGGGGGCGCGGGGGGGGACGCTTGGGCGCCCCGACTCCTGGCCGGGGTGCCTAGGGGGGCGCGAGGGTGCCTGGGGGCCTGGCTGGATCCCCCAGGGTCTGGAGAGGGGGAGGGCCGGAGGGGAGGGGCGAGCGTCCACCCCCCCCCCCAGGGCCGGGGTCCACCCCGCGCACGGGGGCTGCGGACTTCGGGGACCTGGACTTTGGGGGAGCACCCGGGGTGGGGGGTGTGCAGCCACCTGTGACCCAGCTGGGAAGAAGCCTTTGCCGCCAGCTGGTTCCCCGCACACACACCCTCTGGGTGCCCGGCTGACCCCTGAGGTCCCCGAGGGGGTCCAGGCAGAGCCCAGCTGCCTCCCCAGCTGCTCAGGGGCCAGGCGCCCCCCTGCCGCCCCCTCCCTTGGGGTCCCCTTGGAGATGGGCCTCCCCAGCCGCCCCCGCCCCCCTCCGGCTTTTACAACCCCGGCAGCCCGGTGACAGGTGACTGACAGGTGACATGGCCGGGACAGGTCCGCGTGGAGCCTGCAGGGTACAAAGGGCTGCCGTGTCAGCTGGACTCTCCCCGCTTGCTTGCTCGGGCCCCCACGGTCAGGCCCCCGGGGGGAGAGTGTGACCAGCACGGTTCGACACCCACGTGCTCGATGGCTTCCGTGTCCCCCGGGGGTGGTGGCGGTGGCCAAGCAGCCCAGCCGGAGGGCCAAGGGGCAGAGACTCAGACCCAGGCGCCGTCTTGGCTGCTTGCTGGCTTCTCGGCGTGCTGTGCTTCCGTGCGGGGCCTGGCCGTGTGCAGACCCCCCTCAGCACGGCAGGAGTTGTCCGGGTCTGACTCAGGGACAGATCCCTGTATTTATTTATTTATTTATTTATTTGGGGGGGGGGGTGTCACACCCAGCGATACTCAGGGCTCTGCACTCAGGAATTACTCCTGGCGGTGCTCAGGGGACCCTATGGGATGCCGGGGATCGAACCCGGGTTCGCCGCGTGCAAGGCAAACGCCCTCCCCGCTGTGCTATCGCTCCGGCCCCAGGGACAGACCCCTGTAGAGGGAGGAGGCCCCTCGCATTGAAGAGGCCAGTTCTGTTACCCAGAGAACCTTCCAGATCACTCTGCTTTCTGGCCAGCTCACCTGGGCCTGGTCAGAGCCACCCAGTTGGCCGGTCCGGACCTCTGGTTTCCTCTCCTGCGGAGGGCCGGAGCTGGGCCTCACTCGGTCGGTCTGACTGGAAGGACCTAGAACATTCCAGAAAAGCAGAAAGGGAAGCACGCACTTGAGTCCAGTGCGTGCTGGCCGTGGGTTAGGATCGTTCTCACAGCCAAGAATGGATCTGCAGGAAAATGCGTCGCTTCTGATAGAACTGCCAACCAGCAGTCCTGTTCGCGTTCCGCACGATTGGGCTGAATTTCTTTTTATTTGCTCTTTTAATTGGGGAGGGGGGATGTCAGGCAGTGCTTAGGGCTCCCCCCTGGCTCTGTGCTCGGGGACTGCCCCTGGCGGGGCTCAGGGGATCCTGGGGGGCGGCTTGTGCCTTAGGTGATGACCCGTCAGAAGCTAAACGCAGCTGAACACTGGCTTTAAGGGGGGTCGGGGGGTGGGCGAGGTGGGCGGTGTCCCACCCGATCCCTCCTTCCAGGAGGGGCTGTGGGCAAGCTCAGAGACAGGGGGGCCCTGTGGGGCATCACAGAAAAGCAGCAGCACTGCTCCTCGGGAACGACTTTGCAGGGAGATCTCAGGTGGATTAAGGGGAAAAAAAGAAAAGAAGAGAAGAGAAGAAAGGAGAGCAGCAGGTCCGCCCTGGGCACGGTTCCTTCCCTGGTGGCTGTTGACTTTGGAAGGCCTAAAGGTCAGCGTCTCAGCTGGCCCGTCCGGAGCCCGCGTGCAGAATCCTCACTCGGCCCAGACCCAGCCAAGCACCTGGGAGTGTGGGGGCCCCCGCTCCACTCCCACCCGTGGCTCCCACCCATCGGATCTTCCTTCATCCTGAGCTTCCCCCAGACGGGCACCCAAGGGGGCAGCCTGAGGATCTCCTGCCCGGGCCCCTCGGTGGGGCTGGGGGCAACCCCGGGCACCCCCGCCCAGCCAAGAGCTGCCGGCCACCTGTGCGCCCGCACCCAGCCGGCTCCACCCTGCATCTGCCTCCTGGGCTGTCAGTGCCCCATGTGTGCCCCAGGCACCCATGCAGGCCGCCTGGGTCATTCTGGGGGCACCCCAGAGCCCTGTTCTAGGCTCCTGATCAGGCCGGGGTGGGGGGTGTCCCTCACCCCACCCTCAGGGGCACCCGATGGGCCCTGTGACACCCACTGGCCTTCCTGCAGGCTCCTGCCTCGACCCGGCTCTGCCCCCTCCTCTTTGAGGGCAAGAGGGGGACCCGAGTGGCTGCCCAGCCAAGCTCTATGGACTGGGGTGTCCGTGCTCAGCAGGGGTCCCTCTGGAGCTCAGTCCCGACACCCCCCACACCCGTTTCGGGGGACTGCCTTGTGCGGGGCCTCGGCCAAGCCTTTCCCCCACCCCAGGATGGCCGGAAGTTAGGCTGGGTCTGTGGGTCACAAGCTTGTTTCTGGAGGACGAACCGGACCCCGTGCCCTGCGTGCGTGTGTGCGTGTGTGTGTGTGTGTGTGTGTGTGTGTGTGTGTGTGTGCGTGCATGTGCGTGTGTGTGTGGCCCTCTTGGCTGGATCGGCGGGGTGGCAGGCCTGAGCTTCTGGGGGCGGCTGGGGGCTTGGCCGGGGCAGCTGTCAGTCGGTCGAGGACAGATGCGGCCGTGAGCTGGTGGCAGGTGACGGCTGCCTTTCAGGGGCTCCCTGCCTGGGGGATGGTGGCTCCCCTGGGGTCCGCGCCTCTGGCCTGACTGTGTCAAGGGAGGAGGGCTGGGGGATGCTGTCCGGGGCACTGCCCGCGCCTTCTCTGTGTCCTCCTCCTCCAGGCCAGAGCCCGGCAGTAGAACCCAGGGTCACACTCGGCCACACCTCAGGGGCCAAAGACATTGTCGGGCGTGGGGGGCGGCCCTTGCCTTGCCGCGGCCGACCTGGGCTCCATCTCCGGCACCCCAGGGGCCCCCCAAGCCCGCCGGGAGGGATCCCCGAGCTCTGCCCCACCCGTGTTCCTCCAGGTGTGTTTCGACTGCGGCGCCAAGAACCCCAGCTGGGCCAGCATCACCTACGGGGTGTTCCTCTGCATCGACTGCTCGGGGGCGCACCGCTCCCTCGGGGTCCACCTGAGCTTCATTCGGTGAGAGTCCCCGTTCCTCCCGGCCCGGCCCCCCCTCGCCACTCCCCGCCACATCCCCGGGAGGGAGGGGCCCTGCCCGGGAACCCCAAATCCTGCAGTGCCCCACACAGCGTCACCCGCCGGGACCGAGAGGAGATGTGGGAGTGTGCGCACGTGTGTGTGTGTGTGTGTGTGAGAGAGAGAGTATGTGAGTGTGTGAGTGTATGTGTGTGAATGTGCGAGAGTGCACATGCGAGTGTGTGTGTGGGTGTGTGTGAGTGTATGAATGTGTGCGTGTATATGTGAGAATGTGTCAGCGGGTGTGGGTGGATGTGGGGTGAGTGTGTGTGTGTGTGTGTGTCTGTGAAGTGTGTGAGTGTGACTGAGTGTGAGCTCCTTTTCCAGTGCTCCATCCAGGGTTTTCCCTTTGGTCCCCTCCTCCTGGTGAGTAAGTGCCTGTCTTCCGCTTGGCCCATAAGCTGAGGGCTTTGGGGGATGCAGCCGGCCCCAGGCCCCCAGTCCAGTGGGGGAGGGGGAGGTGCCCTTGGAGGGAAGTCACGGCTGAGAAGGCGGCGAGGCGGCCGCCCTGTGCCCGAGTCTGACTCAGTGACGCTCTGGGCACCCCCGCCCCTCCAGACCAAGCACGCGTGTGGACACGCTCCCCACGGCTCCTGCTCGGATGGAGCGGGGACATGGGGGCGCCCTCGCCGGGCCCCGTGTCCAGTTCCCCGAGTGCTGACAGCGGGGATGGACCTTGACAGCAGATCCCTGGTGGCACCTGCCGGCTCGCCCGGGGGCCTGGGCCGGAAATCTGGCCACGACCTGTCTGAGCGGTGCAGGGGCGTGGGGTGGGGGGCGTCTCCCTCCTTTCCTCTCCCGTCTCCCTCTCCCCTTTCTCTCCCTTTCTCTCCTCTAGGCCAAGGCCCGCCCTTCCCACTCTCCTGCTTCCGCGGGAAGGCAGTGCTCGGGTTCAGCTCAAGCCACGCCGAGAAATTGTGTGTGTGTGTGTGTGTGTGTGTGTGTGTGTGCGTGCGCGTGCGTGGAGGAGAATGAATGTGTATGTGTGTGTGAGTGCATGGGGGAGATTGTGTGTGTGTGTGTGCGTGTGTGTGTGCGAGACTACAGGAGTGTGTATGTCAGTGAGCACGTGTATATGTGCTTGCGCACTTGTGGGAGACTGTATCTGTCAGTATGTATGTGAGAGCGTGTGAGCGTGTGCGCGTGTGTATGCGTGCATGCGTGTACGCGTGTGGGAGAATGCGCGTGTCTGGGAGGCGCTGCGGGGCTCCCCTTCCTGTCAGCTCCCGTGCGCAGAGGCCCTTGAGCCTCTCTCAAGCCCTCCCCTGAGTCCATCTGGGGACAGCGGGTGAGTCAGCGCCCACCTGAGTCCATTAGCCGCGGCCTCTGTCCCGAGGCCTGTCCCAGGGCAGATTCCGCCAGCTCAGTGCCCGTCGATCCTGTCTTTATCTCGGCCACGCAGCAGCACGTGGGGTTCGGGGCCACTGCAGGGCGGGGCTGGCCTGGGCCTCACAGGTGCTGGCCACGGGTCCTCACCCTCATCGCTGACCGATGTTTCTGGACACGTCCGACCTCTTCTTGGAGCTGCTTCTGGACTAAACATGTGAACAGTCAGCGGTTCTGAGAGGCCTCGGTGGTCAGTGGGCCTGAGAGGCCCTGGCCTTGGTGGTCAGCGGGCCTGAGAGGCCCTGGTCTTGGTGGTCAGCGGGCCTGAGAGGCCCTGGCCTTGGTGGTCAGCGGGCCTGAGAGGCCCTGGCCTTGGTGGTCAGTGGGTCTGAGAGGCCCTGGTCTCAGTGGTCGGCAGGTCTGAGGAGTTGTAGCCTTAGTGGTCAGCAGATCTGAGGGATCGTGGCCTCAGTGGTCAGTGGGTCTGAGATGTCATGGCCTTGGTGGTTGGTGGGTCTGAGGGGTCGTGGCCTCATGTTTTGCTCACTCCAGGGTGACCCCTCCTCTGACCGGTCTTGTGACTGTGTGTGTACATGTGTGTGTGAAAACCTGTGTGTGCATGTGAATATGTGTGCATGTGTTTGAGTGCCTGTGTGTGCATATATGCATGTTTGCATGTGTGTACATTTGTGTGGGCACCCGTGTATACATGTGTGCATATCCGTGTCATCTCTGTGTGTGCTGTATGTACATATGTGTTGTGCAGTGTGTACATGTGTGTACGTATATGTGCGTGTGTACCCATGTGCATTGGTGAGCACCTGTGTGCATGACCAGGTACGTGTGTTCATACCTGTATGATGTGTACATATACTACACAGTCACACGCACGTGTGTGTACATGTGCACCTGCATATCTGTATGTGGTGTGTGTGCGTGTGTCTGTACACATGCAGTGTTTACATGGGTGTGTGTTTTTGCATATTTGTGTATCTCTGCATATGTGCATTGGGGTGTGCAGGCTTGTATGTGGGCACCTATACGTGGTGCTGTACATGTGTGAGTACATACATGTACATCTGTTTGTGTGTGCAGACCTGTGTGGTGTGTGCACGTGCATGCATGTCTGCTTGCCTGTGTGCATATGTCTGCGGGCCCCAGGAAGGCTCACGGCTGCAGGAGCCGCTTGTCCCCACTGTCCTGCCTCAGACCGCCCCCAGCCCGCATGCGTGGGTCCCAGTTCAGCACCAACTTCAAACTCCTCGGGGTGCGCCAGTCAGGGACATCTCGTCCCTGGGGGTTCGCTGTCTCAGTGCTGGGGACGCTGACCCTGGGGTCTTCTCTCTCCTCCCAGGTCCACAGAGCTGGACTCCAACTGGTCCTGGTTCCAGCTTCGCTGCATGCAGGTCGGAGGCAATGCGAACGCCGTGAGTCGGGGCTGGCTCCCCCACGTGTGCAGTGCTGGGGCGGAGCCCAAACCTCCTGCCTGCAGAGCGTGTGCTCTACCCACTGAGCTCTCCCTCTGGCCCCCCGAGGAAAACTTTACTGAAATGTTTCCATAGTTTAGGTCATTTTCGTGTTTCCCTAGTATCTGAAAACACCCTCCTCGGGTGCAGGGACACAGCAGGGCGCGGGAGGGGGCTCGTGTGTGAGGCCTCAGGTTCCCGTCACCGGCACCCCCAAAAGTAGATCCCGAGTCCCAGGAAGAAACACTCTCAGGCGCCAGGCGGGAGGTGAGTGGGGTCTCGCTTAACTGCCTCCTTCCCTGCAGTCGTCCTTCTTCCACCAGCACGGCTGCGCCACCACCGACACCAACGCCAAGTACAACAGCCGGGCGGCCCAGCTGTACCGGGAGCGGGTCAAGGCGCTGGGCACCCAGGCCACCCGCAAGCACGGCACGGACGTGAGTCGGGGTGCGGGCGCGGGCGGGAAAGGTTCAGGCCAGGCGGGCTTCCTGCAGGCAGGTGGTGACTCCCCTGCCAGCGCAGGGCGGGGTGTGGTGGGGGTTGCGGCCCCGCCCTGCGGAGGCGTTGCTGGGGTCCCGCAGGTGGGATCAGGCCCGTCCCTGGTGCTCGGCCGCCTCCCTCCCCGGTGAACCCTCGATCCCACCCTCTGCTTGGCTCAGGGAAGTCGCCCCCCCATGGCACCCATATAGCGCGAACAGACCCTGGAAGGGACAGACCGGAGACCCCCACGCTCCCTGTCAGTGCAGAGTGTCGCTCTGCCATGCGGGCTCGGGGTTCCCGGTTGTCGGGAGTGGGCGAGTTTGGAGACGGGTTGGCTGGGGACCCGGGGTCCCTGCTCGCTCCAGGAGTGGGCGCAGGTGGCAGGACCACGGGCAGGGCAGGAGCCTGTGACTCTGTCATTGCAGCTGTGGCTGGAAAGCTGTGCGGCCCCCGGCCCGGCCCCCGCGCCCTCCGAGGAGGATTTCTTCGCCTCTCACACGGCTCTGGAGGTACCGTGGACACCCGCCCTTCCCCCCGCCACCCCGCGGTCAGCCCCTGCTAGAGGCCTGCGGCCACCGGCCACCGCAGACTCACTGTCTTGCAGCCCTTAGGTGGATCTGAAGTGCCAATGAAATAAAAGTGCACCTGGGGCCGGAGAGACCGTCCGGCGGGCAGCCGCCCCGGGTTCAGTCTCCAGCATCCCATATGGGTCCCCTTCCCACCCGACAGGAGTGATTCCTGAAATCACCGGGTGTGACCTCCCAAGCACTGCACCGGAGCACTGTCCTCCCGTTGTTCATCGATTTGCTCGAGCGGGCACCAGTAACGTCTCCATTGTGGGACTTGTTGTGACTCTGTTTGGCATCTTGAATACGCCACGCCATGGGGAGCTTGCCAGGCTCTGCCGTGCAGCCGGGATACTCTCGGTAGCCTGCCGGGCCCTCCGAGAGGGACGGAGGAATCGAACCCGGGTCGGTCGCGTGCAAAGCAAACGCCCTACCCGCTGTGCTGTCGCTCCAGCCCTGTGACCTCCCAAACTAACAATAATTAAAGACACATTTTGAGAGGGCGGGAAGCCGGGGTCTGGGGAGCACACTGTGAGCCCGGCTGTCTCTGAGCCCCACCCCCCCTCCCTGCTTAGCCTGGCTCTGCGCTGGGCCCTGAGGCCTTTCCCCCCCTTCCCGCAGGTGAGCAGCACCGGACAGGTGCCGGCACCCCCAGAGTCTCCGTCCCCGGGACTGTGGACCACGGACACCACACCGGGCCCTGCTGAAGGTAGCCTGTCCCGGGTGCTCCGGACCACGATGAGAAACGGGGTGGGGGCCCCAAGGGGTCATAAAGTGGGGTGGGGGTGCAGGAGAAGCAAGCCCAGAGCTTAGGCCCATCGGCGCCAGACAGGTGCAGAGAAAACCGTCTGGGCGCCCCGCACTGTTGGGGGGAGCTCTGGACCCGCCTCCCACTCCACGCCCCAGGTGGGGGGATGCTCACCCTCAGAAATGAGATTCCAGGGGCTGGGGGATAGCACAGCGGGGAGGGCGTTTGCCTTGCACGCAACCAATCCGAGTTCGATTCCCAGCATCCCATAGGGTCCCCCGAGCACTACCAGGAGTCATTCCTGAGTGCAGAGCCAGGAGTAACCCCTGAGTATCGCTGGGAGTGACCCAAAAAGCAAAAAGAAAAAGAAATGAGATTCCAACCCAAGCCCCCTGGAAGCGCTGACCCGGCCAGGCTTCCTTCCTGCAAACAGCTGTAGTTTCAAACAAAGCATCTCCTTTCTGTGTATAAGAAACAGATAAAAGAATAAACAGATAATCAACCCGGCCACCCCAAGGCTGCAGATAAGGCAGCAGAAGCAAAGTGAAACAAAAGGAGGCGCCCAGCTAAGGCGTCCCCCGCACAAACACACACACACACACACACACACACACACACACACACACACACACACCCTGCGAGCCTGAGCCCAGAGTCACACATACACATACACACCCTGCGTGCCTGAGCCCTCACTCACACACTCCCCCGCCCCGCGTCACTGAGTGCAGAGTCACACACACACACACACACACACACACACACACACACACGTGCCTGGGCCCAGAGCCAGATCTCCCGGGCGCACCATGGGCAGCTCTACAGAGTCGAAATGGCCGAGTCCGCTCTGGACGTTCACGCAGTGTCTTTTCACTTCCAGGTGAAGCTGAGAAAGGCCCAAGCGTGGAAGGTCTGCAGGGGCCCACCAAGGCTCCCTTAGGTAAGATGCGTGAAGCCGCCGCACCCTGCTGGTGCCCTGGCAGGGGTCAGGACCCGGCCCTGACTGCCCGCTGCCTGGCCTCGCGTTGGCGTGGATGCACGCTGGGCAAGGGGCAGCCGTGGCCAGTTCTTCCCGTCTGCCTGGCCCCTGGCGCAGCCGCAGAACTGGCCCTGAGGGCACGTGAGCTGATGCCTTGGGGGCTGCCCGGCTGCCCCCTCTCCATTGTCATGGCCACACTTGGTCACACTTGAGATGGGGCGATGTTCTCTCACTGGGCGACAGACTTTCGTCTTTCGTTGTTTGGGGGTTTATCCTGTCTTTTCCTATGAAAGCCACATCTTCGTAAGGAATAAAAAAAAGGGGGGGAATTTTATTCTCTTTTTTTTTCTTTTTGGGTCACACCAGCGATGCTCAGGGGTTACTCCTGGTTCATGCACTCAGGAGTGACTCCTGGCGGTGCTGGGGGACCCTATGGAGATGCTAGGAATCGAACCCGGGTCGGCCGCATGCAAGGCAAACATCCTACCCACTGTACTACTGCTCTGGCCTGGGATTTTATTCTTACTGAGTCTTTTACATGTAACACGTAATTTTGAAAATGACCATCAGACTAAATTGTATCCAGTGACATGATTTTTACATTAAAGAAAATTTGTTATGAAGGCACCATGATTTACAGAGTTACTCATAGCTGAGTTTTCAGCATACGTTCTAGCACTAATCCTACCCCCAGTGATTTTTTTTTATTTGTCCTTTTGTTTTTTGGCTTTGTACGGACTACATCCAACGGTGCTCACACTCCTGACTCTGCACTCAGGAATCACTCCTGGTGGTGCTCGGGGGACCCTATGGGATGCTGGGGATCCAACCTGGGTTGGCCGCATGAGAGGCAAATGCCCTCCCCGCTGTGCTGTCGCTCTGGCCCCAAGATTCTTCAGGAACTTTGTCTAGAGGCACAAGAGGCCATTGAGGACACACTGTGGGGCCCTGGGGCCCCTACGCTTCCTGTTGGTCCCTTACTGAGTTCTGTGGCGCCCGGCCGACTGCAGTCCACATACTTTGGAGAGCCGAGATTGGTGGACGGGTTTGCTCTGGCAGGAAGGAGACCCGCGCCCTCGAGGAAGCGGGAGGCCACGCGGGGCCTTTTCTCTCCCCGCAAATAGGTTTCCCCTGAGTTTGAAAACTGAACAGGGACACTCAGGACGCACTGGGCCCGTGTCCACCATCCTGAGGTGTGTTCCCTCAGCCCTGCAGGCAGACGGACGTGGAAACGCAACTCTTGACTGAGAGCATCTATTTCCTCCTGCTTTTTATTTTTTAACTTTTTATATATATATGGATTTTTGCTTTTTGGGTCACACCTAGGGATGCACAGGGATTCCTCTTGGCTCATGTACTTAGGAATTACTCCTGGTAGTGCTCAGGGGACCATATGAGATGCTGGGTATCGAACCCAGGTTGGCTACGTGCAAGGCAAACACCCTACCCACTGTACTGTTGCTGCAGCCCTAATTCTTTTTTCTTATTTTTATTAGTGAAACACCAGTTGTAGACTTACAATTTTTTGTGCTTGGGTTTCGATTATACAATGATCAAGTACCCATCCCTCCACCAGTGCCCATTCTCCACCACCACTAATCCCAGTATCCCTCCCTCCCCCCTCTCCCACCCTGCCTCTGTGGCAGGGCATTCCCTTTTGCTCTCTTTCTCCTTTTGGGTGTTGTGGTCTGCACAAGAGGCATTGAGTGGCAATCATGTTCGGTCCATAGTCTACTTTCGACATGCATCTCCACTCCTGGGAGCATCCTCCAAACACCCTTTATTTGGTGCTCCCTTCTCTATCTGAGCTGCCCTTTCCCCTAGAATGCCTGGCTGGCCTCTAAGCTACGGAGTAATCTTCCTGGTGCTGATCTCAGCTATTCTTGGGTATTAATCTCATATTTTGTTACTTTATATCCCCCAGATGAATGCAATCTTTCTATGTCTATCCCTCTCTTTCTGACTCATTTCGCTTAGCATGATACTTTCCATATTGTACCACTTGTATGTAAATGTCATGACTTCATCTTTTCTAACAGCTACATAGTACTCCATTGTGTAGATGTACCAAAGTTTCTTTAACCAGTCATCTGTTCTCGGGCACTCAGGTTTTTCCAGATTCTGGCCATTGTAAAGAGTGCTGCAATGAATAAACAAGTACAGATGTCACTTCGGCTATACTTTTTTGCCTCTCCGCGGTATATTCCCAGGAGTGGAATTGCTGGATCAAATGGGAGCTCAATTTCTAATTTTTGGAGAATCGTCCATACTGTTTTCCAGAAGGGCTGAACCAGTGGACATTCCCACCAACAGTGAAGGAGTGTCCCTTTCTCGCCACATCCACGCCAGCATCGGTTGCTTTTGCTCTTTTGAATGTGGGCCAGTCTCTGAGGTGTGAGATGGTATCTCATTGTGGTTTTGATCTGCATCTCCCTGATGATTAATGATGTAGAGCATTTTCTCATGTGCCTTTTTGCCATTCGGATTTCTTCTTTGAGAAAGTTTCTGTTCATTTCATTGCCCCATTTTTTGATGGGGTTGGATGTTTTCTTCTTGTGCAGCCCTAATTTTTAAAAAAAAATTGACTTTTTAAAACTTTATTTCAGGGGCTGGAGTGATAGCGCAGTGGGTAGAGCGTTTGCCTTGCATGCAGCCAACATGGCCGACCCTGGTTCGATTCCCAGCATCCCATATGGTACCCCGAGCACCGCCAGGAGTAATTCCTGAGTGCATGAGCCAGGAGTAACCCCTGAGCATCACCGGGTGTGACCCAAAAAGCAAAATAAATAAATAAAAATTAAAATTTAAAAAAAACTTTATTTCAGGGGCTGGAGTGATAGCACAGCAGGTAGAGTGTTTGCCTTGCACGCGGCCCAACCCTGATTCGATCCCCAGCATCCCATATGGTCCCCTGAGCACGGCCAGGAGTAGTTCCTGAGTGCATGAACCAGGAGTAACCCCTGAGCATCGCCGGGTGTGACCCAAAAAGCAAAAAAAAAAACTTTATTTCAACATAACTTTGCTTACAGAAATACACTCATGCTGGTTAATGGAAAACCGTTTAAATTTAATTTATTTTACACAATTGGGACCAAAACCTTGGTACACAGTTTAAGCTTTTTTTTTAAATAGGATTTTATTTTTTATTTTTGGGTCACACCTGACAATGCCTAGGGATTACTCCTGGCTCTGAACTCAGGAATTACTCCTGATGGTGCTCAGGGGACCATATGGGACTCGGGGGATTGAACCCAGGTCAACTGACACCCTCCCCACTGTGCTCTCGTTCCACCCTGGTTTAAGCTTTTCAAACAAGGATTGCCAGTACCTCTGCCAGTACCTTATCTTATCAGAACATCTTTTTATGACATCTTATTATCTCATTCCTACTTTGGACAAACTGGCAGGCTACCGAATGTAACCTGCCCACACGGCAGAGTCTGGCAAACTCCCCGTGGCGTACCAAATATGCCAAATACCAGTAACAATGATGGGTCTCATTCTCCTAAAGAGCCTTGAATATAATCTCAGGGCTAGGATGAAAGAGACGTTACTGGGGCCTGCTCGAGGCAGTCGACGAATAACAGGATGATGAATGAAAAAAAAACAAGGATTTGCAGTCTGATTTTTCATGTGTAACAAATGTATATAGAAGGTCCTCCATCATATGCTGCTAAAGCCAGCAGTAGTAAAGCAGTAACCTGAAGAAATCTGCTGGGTTTTTCAAAGACGCGCTGTGGGGTGGGGGTGTGGCTGCTTGCTCTCTCTCTCTCTCTCTCTCTCTCTCTCTCTCTCTCCCTCTCTCTCTCTCTCAAAAAAGACTCACTTGAGGAAAAAGATAATATATATGTTTTACTGGTTTGATCTACAAGTTTCCTTTTTTTTTTTTTGACAGAGATTTCCTCTATCATAAAAAAAAAAACCAACTACAGCCAAAAAAGGAGTGAGTACGGTCTATAACGTCTGCCAGTCCCACTAGAAACTAGCTGTTAGGGCAGGAGACCCCAGGTTTGATCCCCAGCGCCCCCCCACCCCCGCCCCAGACCCCCCCCAGCTTGGAGTAGCCCCAGGCTGTGAGTTCACCCCCTTCCCAGCAGAAGCTTTGATGTTCTAGCAGGCCGCCTGGCCGACCGTTTCCTGTTCATGTGATCTGTTTGATCTTACTTATTCTGAGTTGCTGTGACATGGATGTGGCTTGGGGTTTTGTGTGTGTGTGTGTGTGTGTGTGTGTGTGTGTGTGTGTGTGTTTGGCTTTTTGGGTCACACCAGGCGATGCTCAGGGGTTCCTCCTGGCTCTGCACTCAGGAATCACTCCTGGCTGTGCTTGGGGGACCCTACGGGATGCCGGGGATCGAACCCGGATCGGCTATGTGCAAGGCAAACGCCCTCCTCTCTGTGCTATCGCCCCAGCCCCGAATGTGGCTTGGATGGTTCCATTTTGGGCCCCCGCGGAGTCAGGCTTAGTGGAGCTTTTCCCGAAGGAGAAACTGGACAGCGGATTGACCACGATGCTCCCCCGGGGATCTGCTGCATCAGCGTTTTCTGGGGAAGGGGTCCTACCATGCAGACGCCCGTTCCCCGTCGCGGCGGGGCCCCTTGGCTGAGTCCTTCCCTCCTGGGAACTCCCGTCACCGGGCCAGGATGGCAGTGGCAGCTTGTGGAAGGGGACGGGGCGAAGGCCTGGGGCACCGGGCCATCACCCCCCGCCCCCCGCCTCATTCCTGGCACTTTTGCCAGCTGGGGGCCAGGAAGGGCGGCCTGGGCGCGCAGAAGCTGGAGAACGCGAGCTTCACGGAGATCGAGCGGCAGGCCCACGCGGCCGACATGGCCAAGGAGCAAGAGGAGCACCGTGCCCGCGCGGCCGCCCGGGAGGAGCCCCTGTGAGTCCCGCCAGGCCTGGGGCCCTGAAACCGCCGACCCGGGGGCTGGGCGGGAGAGGCCACGGGAGACCCCGCTTTCTGCGGCAGGTGGGGGCCGAGGTCGGGGAGGGAGAGAGACAGTTGCTAGGGACCGCCCATCCGAACCCCGAACCCCCAGGCCTGCCGTGGGGTCAGCCTGCAGCTCAGCCCGGAGGAATGGGCTGACCCGCACCCCCACTGGGAACTAGGACACGCGTCCACGTGTCCACGCGGCCGCAGAGCCAGCAGGGATGGGCATGGCCATGGGACCTGAGCATAGGCTGCGGTCCACGCTCCCGCCAAGGCCCAGGCAGAGCCCCGAGGTCGGCCGAGGCCCCGACTGGCCCCTGCGAGGACCACTGGGGGACAGAGGCTGCAAGGGGCCCGGGGCCTCCCGGGGAGCTGCTGGAATGTTCTGGATGCGACCGCGGCAGTGGGGTCAGCTCCAGAGGGCGGACTGTGGATTTGATCGCGTGTCAATGACCAAGAAAATACTCAGACACGAGGCCCTGGGCTGGGGACTCGGTTCTGGGTCTCTGGGTGACGGTGGGGCGGGGAGCAGGGGGTGCTCGAGTCTGGAAGGGCCTCAGACCTGGCGCGAGCAGGACCAGGATGGGGAGAGAGGGGGAGCAGGGAGGAGGCTGCGCCGAAGGGACCATCCCCGGGTGGGAAGACTCCCTGGAGCTGCCCAGAGAGGCGGGAGCCAAGGACCGCGACAGGCTCCATCCTGCCGGCCGGGGCATCGCTGCCGCCATTCTCCGCACCGGCTGCAGGGGGCAGCACTAAACCGTCCTGCGCCGCCTTGCGTTCAGTAGGGTTTGCCCCAGCTTTTTTTTTTTTTCCCTGACCCCGATGGGTGTTTTTTTTGTTGTTTATTTGGTTGGTTTTTTTTTCTTTTTGGGTCATACCCAGCGATTCTCAGGGGTTCCTCCTGCCTCCGCACTCAGGAATTCCTCCCGGTGGTGCTCAGGGGACCCTATGGGATGCTGGGAATCGAACCCGGGTCGGCCGCGTGCGAGGCAAGCGCCCTCCCTGCTGTGCTATCGCTCCAGCCCATGGGGTGGGTTTGTTTTGTTTTGTTTTGTTCTTTAGGTGATTGGTTTTGGGGCCTCACCCGGCAGTGCTCAGGGCTTACTCCTGGCTCTGCACTCGGGAATTACTCTTGGTCGTGCTCCAGGGACCATGTGGGATGCCCAGGATCGAACCCCGACTGGCCACGTGCAAGGCACACGCCCTCCCCAGGGAACTATTGCTCCAGCCCCTGAGGGTCCGGGCGGGGGAGGGGGGTTGACCCTGGGCAACAGCTCCGAGCAGTGAGCTTGGAGGGGCCCCCAAATCGACAAAACCCAAATCAACAAAAAGGTGAAGGCGTGATTCCGCAAGTAAATCTCTGCTTGTTTGGGGGCCATGCCCGGATCCGTGCTTGGGGGCTACTCCCAACTCAGTGCTCAGGGATCACTCGCACCAGGGGTGTGGGGGGAACCCCGGCTCCCTCCCGCAGAGCCTGCACCTGCTCTTGGCGCGTCTCCATCTTCCCGGCTTGCAGGCCGTTTTCTCTAACAGCCTTAAGGAAAGTTCCCCCATCAGCAGTGTGCAGAGCAACCTGCGTTCTTGTCACTGGCTAGTTCCCCACTGCCCCTCATGGATTCGGCCCACTCCCAGCTGAGACTGAAGAGGGCTCAGCGTGGCCCCTGTGTGTGGGGGGGTTGTCACCCCGGCCCCCCCCCCGTGCCTGTGGCTGGCCTCCTGCGCCCGGCCTGGCCTGTTCTTTGGCTGCTCTGCCTCTCTTGTCCAGGCCTGTTTTGCATTTTTGTTTTGAAGCCCCTCTGGGGTTACCCTGTGGCTCTGTGCTCAGGAATTATTCCTGGCAGACTCATATACTCATGTCGTGCCGGGGATCGAACCCAGGTCCACCGGGTGCCCGGCCAGCACCGTCCCCGCGGTGCGGTCTTTCTGGCCCCTACTGTCTCTTTGGCTTTCACCGCTGGCCCCGGCTGTCTGAGCGTGTCCGTCTGCCCGGGGCTGTCTCCTGAGCGTCTGGGCCCGACCACTGCTCCCCCGGCGTGGCCTCACCCCCCTGACATGACGAGACTCACCGGCCGCCAGCCCCGCGTCCCTCCCGGCCCACTCTCACGCCAGCTCCAGCTCCTTCTTCGCACTCGGCCCGGGTTGTCCTTTCCCCCGATTGCTGCTGGGACTGTTTCTCCCTCCTGCTTGCTTTCCTGTCATCCGAGGGGACGTCGGCGCTTTCCTGCCTCCCCCCTCCCAGCCCCGGCTCACGGCTTTACCATGAGAGACATAGACTCTCCGTGTAGCTGTTTTTATCTTAAACTGAAGCCAACCACGAGACTGACCACAACTCTGGTATCCGGTGTGGACACATGTTAGTCCGAGTAAGAAATGGTGCCTTTGGGGCGGACCCAGCATCCATCCCCGGCACCCCACATGGTCCCGAGCTGCCAGGACAGACCCCCTAAGCGCGGGGCCCTGAACACCGCTGGGGTGACCCCAAAACCAAACCCAGAAAATGTGCCTTTTGCTAACCTCTGTGGAAGTGAGTCTGGGTGCAGACTGTCGGGGTCCCTGATGGTCCCCAGGGTGGACCATGACAGGGATGGGCCTGTAGCCACAGAGGCTGTGCAGACTCTCGGGGTCCCTGATGATATGGGCTGATGGAACCAGCGGCCACGGTCGCAGCAGACTGCAGCTCACTGCTTCCCCGTTTCTCGGCAGCTGCTCCGAGAAGGTGTTTCTGGGGGAGAATGACCAGGTCGCCCCCTCGGTGCTCATCCTGGGGGGCAGGAAGCCCCAGTCTCAGGCTGGTCACAGGCTGGCTTGTGTATGTTCACGGGCGCAGCTGGGAGCAGCATCAAGGAGCTCTCGGTTTCCTTGGCAGCGTCTCGTCCTTGCGGTTGGCTTACCAGGACCTCACGATCCAAATGAAGAAAGACGAAAAGGCGAACCTGAGCGGCAGGAAGAAGCCGGAGTCGGAGCGGCTGGGCATGGGCTTCGGGGGCTCCCGGAGGTGCGTGGCCCGCCAGGAAGAGGGTTTCCCGCTCCGTGTCGACTTGAGGAGTACTTTCGTCCTCTCCTCCCATGACGCGGCTTGGACTTGGGTGTTCGATGTAGCGTGGAAAATGCCACGTATGTTGCTTAGAGAGAAGGAAACGGGCGACTTGCTAGTGAGCCCACACGCTTAATATACGTGGCTGTCAGTTGCATGACTACACACACACACACACACACACACACACACACACAAACACACACTGCCGCATGCCAGCGTTCCTCAGCCTTGATGCAGGAAATCCGGGTGCGTACACCATCTGAATCGCTGACGTCGTTGGCCCCGGGGTTAGACATCAGTTTGCTCGGGTGGCGTCACTGTGTGCGGCGACTAACCCACTGCTTTGTTCTTCCCAAATAGCATTTCACATTCAGTGACTTCAGACCTGCAGACCATTGAGCAGGAAACTCCTGTCGTAGCCAAACCGAGGAAGAAATACAGTGACGACAACGATGACTCGTACTTCACCTCCAGCTCAAGGTAACGCACGACACTCCCCCACTGCGGTGCTGGGGAGGCGGCGATCGGCCTCCCCTGCCGGCGTGTTGGCGTTAGGAGGAAGCACAGCTCCTTAGTTAGCTTCACTGGTCCGGAAAGTCTCGCCCGGACCCAAGCCCTCCTTTGGAATGAAAATCAGGGCAGCGTTTGTGCGCGGGGCATTGGCTGACCTGCAGCCTGAGTCAGCCCAGGGGCGGGAGGGCCGTGTCCGCCGGGAGCATGGGGTGAGAGAAGCTCTGCTGGGTGCCCGAGGTGGACCCTCGGTGTCCGTCACCCCTGTCTCTGGAACATTCCACAGCCGTGCTCCCTGCAGCGTCTGCAGGATCCGGTGCTCAGGTCACGGTGACTGTTCAGACGCCTTTCATACACCATACGCTGCTCCTACGGAGATGCGGAACAGACACGGAACAGACACGTGACGTAGACTTCCACAGACACATAACACACATAGACATGTGATGTAGACATGTGACAGACATGTAACATAGAAATGTCACAAACTGTTCCATAAACACGTAACATATAACATAGACATATTAAGACATGTACCAGACATATAGACACGTAACAGACATGTAACATAAACATGACACTGTTCCACGGACATGTAACAGACATATCACATAGACACATGACATAGACATGTAACAGACATATAAGAGACGTGACATAGACTGTTCCATAGGCATGTAACAGACATGTAACATAGACACATAATAGATGCGTAACAGACCATTCCATAGACACGTAATAGACACATACCTATATAACACAGGCTTTTCCATAGACGTAGGGCTGGAGCGATAGCACAGCGGTAGGGCGTTCGCCTTACAAGCGGCCAACATGGCCGACCCGAGTTCGATTCCTCCGCCCCTCTCGGAGAGCCCGGCAAGCTACCAAGAGTATTCGATATGCCAGACACAGTAACAACAAAGTCTCCAATGGAGACGTTACTGGGCCCGCTCGAGCAAATCGATGATCAACGGGAGGGCCTTTACTTACTTTTACTTTCCATAGACGCATAACAGACATGTAACATAGACACATGACATAGACATGTGACAGACATATAAGAGACACGTGACATAGACTGTTCCACGGACATGTAACATAGGCACGTAACAGATGCGTAACATAGACCATTCCATAGACACAGATATATAACACAGACTTTTCCATAGATGCATAACAGACATGTAACAAAGACACATGCCATAGACATATAACATACACACACGTAAGACGCCGTCCCACAGACCGTCCGTAGACATATTTCCAGGTGTTTTCCGTCCATCGCCGTGTCCCATAGACACGCACCATCGTCATACGCAGGCGTGCCCCGTAGCCATATTCCATAGGCGCGTTCCCTGGGTGTCCCCGGGAGACGCTGCCGGGCGCGTGGGAAGGAAGAGCCGGGTCCTCTCGCACCCACCGTCAGACGCCTGGTCTCGCTGGAGAGCAGGTTCCGGCCCGCCTGGCCTCCCCTCGCGCCTGCCTCTGTCCACGCAGGTACTCGGACGCGCCCCTGGAGACGAGGAGCACGTCCTTCTCCAGCTGGGACGACAGCTCCGACGCCTTCTGGAAGAAGGAGACCATCAAGGACCCCGAGGGGGCTCTGAAGGCCACGGGCTACTTGGACAGGTGGGTCTGCCTCCCCACCCCCACCCCCCTCCGCTAACCCAACCCCCCGTGGGCAAGCAGTGGCCAGCACCGAGCTTGCCCTGCGCTTACGAGCACCTTCTCAGGGTCAAGGGCTCCAACCTGGGGTGTGCCTTCCTGGAGGCCAGCGGGAGAGGCCACTGCCCCCTTGTCAAGGCCATCCACCCGGGCAGGCTCTCCGGGAGACGCCGGCTGGGTCCAGAGTCAGTCCTGGTTCCTGTCCTAGCTTTGGAGACGAAGTCGCACCCCTGCGGCCCGCAGCCCGCTTTCTGCGGCTCCTGCCTCTGACATTCCCATGTTCTCCTCAGTCTCTGGGATGAGTCCTCCCCGAGGGCCACCTCCGACGCGCCCGGCTTCCTCCACACCCGCGGCTGTCGCCCGGGCTCTGGGGGCTTGGGGGTGTGAGCCGCCCAGGGGGTCCCCGCGGGCTGATGGGGCGCCCCCTTCTCCCCTGCAGACCCGCCGCTCGCCGCAAGCCGGACTACGCCCCCGTGGAGAGCACAGACGAGGCCCAGAAGAAGTTCGGCAACGTCCGGGCCATCTCGTCGGACATGTACTTCGGGAGGCAGGCCCAGGCCGATGTGAGTGTCAGAGTATGGCCAGAGCCACGTCCAGCTGGGGCAGCCCAGGCGCGGGGTGGGAAGCTGGGGGCTCGTCCCCTACCGCCCTTCTCTCCCTCCCCTGGTGCCCCCCGGAGCTGCAGACACACGTGGAAGTGGGGGTGTCCCGGGTGGGGCCTCGGGCCGCGTGGTGGCCCCTGGTCTATGCCGCCCAGTCTCTGAGAGGGTCCTGATTTTCAGTGGAGCTTTGGGGGTACTCTAGGCCGTCCCCCCTGCCCCTGGCCGCCACAGGTGGGCTTCAGCTGTCCACGGTGGGGACTCTGGCTCGCAGCGCAGGGGCACAGCCAGCACTCGGTGACAGCCCGGGGGGGCCGGGGCCTGGCCGTGTTGGGGACCGACGTCTCCGTGTGCTTGTATGTCCAGTATGAGACCAGGGCCCGGCTGGAGCGGCTCTCGGCCAGCACGTCCATCAGCTCGGCTGACCTATTTGATGAGCAGCGGAAGCAGGCGGCGGGTACGTGGCCGGGCGTGGGACGAGGGATGAGGGGAGGGTCCCCACTGCCCGTAGCCGGGGGACTGACCCTGTGGGCCGCCGCCCCCTGCTGCCCAGGGCAGGGAAAAGGGAGGCTGGGGTCCCCGAGGGTCCCTGAGGTTACACCCCAACCCCAGTCAGCAGCCGGAGCCCAGCGGGAGGCGGGCAGTCAGCCCAGCGACCCAGAGGTCAGTTGGCTCCTGAGTGCGGGTCACTGAACTGACCCAGGGCCTGGGGTGGGGGACTGGGGTACTAGTGCCCACTGCATCGGCAGTCGGGCGGGTCCCCCAGGTGTTGACCGTCCCCAGCCATGTGTGTCACTGGGTGTGAGGACTTCTGAGGACTTTGGGGGCTCAGGCAAAAAAAAAAGGCCTTTGGGGTGGGCTTCCTGCCCCCTGCCCAGAGCAGAGGCCCCCGACTTCCAGGCCTGGATCCGGTGTGGGCTCTCCGAGGGTCCCCAGAAGGTCCCTCCCACCCGAGGCTCATCAAACCCCACCTCCACCGCCCCGCAGCCCCTGGTCACACCCTCACCCACAGCCTGATGGGGGCCCACCCATGTCCCCCAGACACTCCGGCAACTCCCCTGAGAGCCTGAGGGACATGGGGGCAGCCCCCACCCACTTCCCGGAAGCGGTTCTGATGGTCCGAGCTGGCCCCTCTCGGCCAGCGAGCTCTCGGTGTGGCTGTGACCTCAGTGTCCGGCAGCCCATTTCCTTGTCCTCAGGCCCGGGGTCTCTTGGCCACTAAAGTTGGGGTCCCCGGGGCTCAGCCCGTGCTGTTGGGGTCCCTGGGCTCGGTCATGCCGCGCCCCCTAACCGCGTGTGCCCTTGCACAGGGACCTACAACCTGGCCAGCGTGCTGCCCACCGCGCCTGACATGGCCCAGCTCCGGCAGGGGGTGCGCTCTGTGGCCGGGAAACTCTCCGTCTTTGCCAACGGGGTCATGACCTCCATCCAGGTGAGGGGGGCACGGGGTCCTCCAGGGGCGCCCTGTGGGCAGGGCCGGGCCTGAGGGTGCTCTGGGAGGGACAGGACGCTGACCAGTGCTGGACTGGGGTTACACCGTCCCCTGTGCTCTCTCCCCTGACCCCAAAACACCATTTTTATTTTTGGGGGGGCTCGTCTGGTGATGCTCAGGGGACCACACAGGGTGCCGGGGACCCAACAAGGCCGGCCACCTGCGAGGCAAGTGCCGTAGCCTCTGTGCTGTCTCTCCGGCCCCCTAAAACACCCTTTTAAGATCCAATGACCCCCCCATGGACAGTGGGCCCCCAGGCCGGCAGCTGGCCGCTGAGCTCCACGGCCTGGGGGTGCCTTTGGGAAGCAGCCACTGCCCCCAGGGAGAGTCGGACCCCAGCCCCCAGCACCGCTAGAGCAGCGGCCCCAGAGTGCTCCGGCCCATCACCCCCTTCACAGAAAACAACCCTGCAGGGGCTGGTCACAGTGCTCGGGGGATGCCCAGGCTTGGGGGGGGGGCAGCGCAGGGGAGCACCCGGTGCCCGTGGTTATCCCAGGGTAGTGTTTAGGGCTCAGTTCTGCCTCGAAGCACCCATGTCCGAGGGGGGATGCTGCAATACTCTCGGAGGAAGCAGTTTCCGGCTCAACCCGGGGCAGGGTCTGTGGGGCAGGTGGCCCAGTGGGCAGCGCACGCGCTTCTCTCCTGCAGGACCGCTACGGCTCCTAGTCCCCGGGCCACGCAGCTCAGCCGAGGAGAGGCACCAGCCGGGCCGCCCGCTCACCCCCGCCCGGCCCCTGCGACTCTTCCTGCCACCTCCTCACCCGCCGCCGCCGCAGCCGCCACCCGCCCCTGCCGAGGAGGCCGCCCCGTCTTCTGCTTTTTGAATTTCTGAGAAACGTATGCGAACGCCCGAAGTATTGACAAACGGCTAGTGCTCCCTGGATTAAAGACAAATACGAAGAAATGCCCCCGAGATTTCGGTATATAATATATAGATGTGGATATGTAGATGAGGGGCCAGTTCACTGAAATTGGGTCGTTTTGTTAATATTTTTTTATCCGGATCTTGGTTTTCCAAAAAAAAAAAAATTGCAGAATGTGTATAAATGAATAAAGAAAAATAATCTGGCTGTGTTTTAGACAGCGTTAGGATATATTGTTCAGCACAGTAAACTATATTTGAGATTTGAACCAGGAAAAACGGTTTCCGTGGGATATTTTGTGAATCATCTTAAAGGCTCAAATTTGTAGATTTCCGAATACAATAAAGGCTCAGGAGATGCACTGTGGCGCCTTCTCTGCCGGGGGTCCCCTGACCGTGGGGTTCCCCAGGCCACTGGGTCCTTCCCTGTGCCTCCCTGAGCCCCAGCCTCCTGCCTCTGCCCCCGAAGGTGCCCCCAAATCCAGCCCCCAGACTCACCTAGGCCTCCCTGCATCACCCCTGCCCGGGTCCGGCAGATCGGCCGAGAAGACTCAGCCCAGGGCCTGTGGGACCCCAGGGGACAGTGCGAGGGGACCCCAGGGGTGGTACTGAGGGGTCCCCAGGGGGAAGTACCAAGGGGGCCAGGGGGCAGGGCCCAGGGAAGACGGGGCCCAGAGCTTCTGTGGGCTCCCTAGTTGGGAGGTGGGCCTCACGGGGGTCAGAGGAGCCGACCCCAGGGCGGGGACCCCACAGGCCGCAGCCGTTTCCCAGCAGACGGTTCACGCCCACCCAGACACGGCAGGGGCGGGCAGCCTCACTGTCCCAGGCCCTTGGGCTGATCGTGCCTCTGAGGTGCCCCCAACAAAGGTGTGAAAGGGTAGAGAAAGGAGGGGGCGGGAGGGGGCTCACGGGACTCCCCCCACAAATCGGCTTTTCACCCCAGACTTGCCCGGCCTATGTGCCCGGCCCGGGCACCCCAACCCGTCTGCACCCAGAAGGCGTCACCGAGTCAGGGGCTACCCACGGTGCTGCAGCTGTGCTCAGGACCCAGGGGACCTCCTGACCCCCACGTTGGTGACCCAGATCTCCCCCTTGGGCCCGAGCGATGGTGCAGCAGAGGGCGTTTGCCTGGCACGCGGCCGACCCACGTTCAGTCCTGGCCGACCCACGTTCAGTCCCGGCCGACCCACGTTCAGTCCTGGTTAGCCAGGTGTGGCCCGAAAAAAGACAAACCGAAACGAATTTAAAAATTGACAAAACCAGGCGCCACCCACGTGGTGCCCAGGAGGCCGGGAAGGAGGAGGGGCAGCGCCTGTCACCCACTGCCCACGCCGCCTGCCCACATGCACTTCCTGCCGGGCTACCTGTGCCCATCCGGGAACCTCAGGAGGGCAGGGCCTGTCCAAGCCCGGTCCGGACACTGAGCCCTCGGGCAGCTGTGCTCAGGAGAGTTAAACAGGACGAGGGTTTCTGTGGTCACAGTGAGGGTGCCCAGTGTCAGGGCTATTGTTGAGACTCACGCACGGCCTGAAGGAATTGCCAGGGGACTCGGGGGGGAGGGGCTCCCAGCAGTGCTCAGGACCCAGGGTTCACTACATTTTGTGCTCCAGCTCGGCTCCCCGCTGCAGTGCTCAGGGGACCAGGCGCTGCTCGGGCCTGACCCCAGGCCTCCTGCAAGCAAAGCCTGAATCCCGCCAGGAGTGCCGCCCACAGGGACACCAGCTCACCAGGCCTGAATGGGCAGAGCGCCTCCTGCATGCCAGGCCCGTCTGGGGCCCTTTGACCATCTCCCCAGGCCCGAGGGTCTCGCTGGGCCCTTGCTACGGTGGGAGGGGGTTCAGGGACGGGTCGGCGTGGACCGGGGAGGTCTCTGCTGCCTCTTCCTCCCGGGCGCCCTCCAGCTCCGCAGTGGGACTGAGTCAGATGTGGGGACGCCTTATTCCACACCATGACCGCAGAGGCAGAGACCCCCCCCCAAGGTGGGTCTGGCGGACCCCTAAAGCTCTTGCCATAAATGTCTCAAATGTGCCATGTGGGGTGACTCGCGGGGACAGGGGACGGTCCTTAGTCACAGTCACCTCCTGCCAGGGGCTCGGGCACGGTGCCCGGCACCCTCCCGCTGTCCCTGTGGATTTTCCTACGGTCCGGGTCACCTGTTTGGCATTTGCATTCGCTTTTGTTACTCTCTGTGTTTCTTCCCTTCCCGCGGGAGGCGAGGGGGGGCAGCTCACGGGGTCCCGGAGGCCCAGAACCACCTGTCCTGTCGCCCCGCAGGTGCAGGTGAGATGCTGGGGCCTGCGCCAGGCGGCAGGTACCTCACTGGCCCCTGGGAAGGAGGAGGGGGGGAGGCAGGCCCGGGCTCGCCCACCCTGGGCCCGAAGCTCCTTCTGAACCCTCCAGGCTGTTTCTGCAACAAAGTAGCAAATGCTGCTTCTCTCCAAATGCATTTTGACACAAATCAAAGCTCCCTTCTGAGAGTGTCGCCACTTTTCCGGGGACAGGAGAGATAGCACAGCTGGGAGGGCGTTTGCCTTGCATGCGGCCAGCCCGGGTTCGATTCCCAGCATCCCATATGGTCCCCTGAGCACCGCCAGGAGTAACCCCTGTGCAGAGCCAGGTGTGACCCAAAAAGCAAAATAAATAAATAAATAAAAACGGTCACCGAGGGGCTGGGGGCAGCAGCATCAGGGTAATGCTCCGGCCCTACAGACCCCTGTGTGTCCTGCAAGGTGTGGCCCCTAACCCACAGATGCCCCTGGGCAGGGGGGTCCACACCTGGCAGCCCCTCCCCACCTCCCACCCTAGCTGTGCTCTCTCTCTCTCCTCTCGCTGAGGATGTAGGTTTCCAGGGCATTTTTTTTTTCGTGATGTTGTTTGCTTGCTGTGGATCCTCCTGATGGATGAAACTGGCTCGCGGGTGGCTCCTGCCTGCGGGAGACGGGGCGTTTGTCACCCTCGGCTGAGTCCTTCCCGTCTCCCCGTTCTCCTTCTTCTGCTCCTATGAGCAGAAGTTTCTCACTGTAATGGAGACTCCCTGGAGCGCGCCGGCTGATCAGGGGGTCCCTGGGGAGTCAGTGTCTCAGCACCCGGAGAAATGCCACGCGGGGCCCGAGCTGCAGCGGGCGTCTTTAATCTGCGGGTCTGGTCCCTTGGGGGAGGGCGGGGCCGGGAGGATGGCCGGGAGGAGTCAGAGCATCATCTGATTAGGCTACGGCTGTGCTGGAGACGCCAGGCAGCTGCCTCCCTGGGCTGGGCAGAGCCGGGGCTCCCCGGGAGCAGCACTGATGGGGGCCTGGGGGGCTCGTCCCCCTCTGGGAGGACCCCTCGCCCCGCCCCTGCCACACTGACCAGGAGTCAGGACAGTCTCACACCCACCTGGGGCTGGACTGTCCTCAGCATCGCCTCCGCTGTGGGCCAGGCCCCAAGGGTCAGTGCGGGCTGAGGTGCCCCGGGGGGCCCTCCGGGGCCACCCCCAGAGATATTGGGGGGCTGTGTGGTGTCTGGGCTCAACCCCGGGAGCTCACAGACTCGACCGGAGCCCCAGCGCCTGAGTTCAAGCCCCTCCAATTGTTGCTGCTGTTGCTGTTATTTGGGGGCTCGGGAGTTTGGGCCACTCCCAGATCATGCTTGGGCATCGGGGGCCCAAAGGGTGCCGGGCTCACGCTCGGGGCTCTCGCCTGTGCTCCCTGTGGGCCTCTCCCGGCCTCCGTCTGTTCGTCTGCAGAAGGCCCGGGTGTCAGGGGGAGTGTCTGCAGCCTCTGCGTGTCTCTGCGGGGGATTCTCAAGGTGGTTCCCTCTTCTCCCCACTGTCTGGGGTCTCCCCCGCCTGCTGGACAGCTGACTCACACGGCCCCAGCCCTGCCCTATCCTGCCCCCAGCTCACACCTGCACAGCCCCACCGGGTGCCTGCCCCTCCCCGAACCCCTTTCTCCCACGGCTCACCCAGCTGGCCCAGGGGCTCTGCACCCCCTCACCTCCTCTCTGGGGGTCTCTGCTCCCCTCACCCCCTCTCCCGGGGTCTCTGCGCCCCTCCCCTTCTCTCCCAGGGTCTCTGCCCCCCTCTCACCTCCGCTCTCTTCCAGAGCCCGGGGACAGCCTGGCCCCCAGATCCCCTTCCCTGGACCCAAGGCGCTTTCCCTGGGGGGTCACCCCACATGCCCGTGGGTGTCCGTGCTTTCCTCCTCCAGCTCCTGCCTGATGTGCCGGCTCCCTGCCCATCTCCCCACGGCAGGCTGGGCACAGGCTCCCTGAGGGCATTTGCAGGAAATGCAGATTCTCAGGCGGTGATGGGGCTTGGCCGTGGGGTCAGTGGGTCCCCCGGGATTCGAGTGCCTTCTTCTTTTTTTTTTTTTTTGCTTTTTGGGTCACACCCGGCAATGCACAAACGCACAGGGGTTACTCCTGGCTCTGTGCTCAGGAATTACCCCTGGCGGTGCTGAGGGGACCCTATGGGATGCTGGAAATCGAACCCGGGTCGGCCGCGTGCAAGGCAAACGCCCTACCCGCTGTGCTATTGCTCTAGTCCCTCGAGTGCCTTCTTAGCCTTCCAGTTTGGGAGCATTTGTCCTGGGCCCAGGCGCCATCCAGTGGGCAAAGGGGCGCGAGTGGGGTGCCGGGCTCCCCCTCTGAGCCGTCTCAGCCGCATCCCCCGACAGGGCCCTGCTACCAGGCAGCCCCAGAGGGTCACGGCGCTGGGCTGGGGCAGGAAGTTCCACACGGTCGCCAAGACCCTGAAGCCAGGCCGCTGTCCCAGAAAACGGGAAGATGCAGGACTGCAGGGCTGGAGCCCACCGGAGAGGGCGTTTGCCTTGCATGCAGCCAACCCGGGTTCGATTCCCAGCATCCCGTAGGGTCCCCTGAGCACCGCCAGGAGGGATTCCTGAGTGCGGAGGCAGG